CAAAACGCAAGCGGAAAAAGGAAGAACTCGCACACACTCATAGGCAAAATCTTTGTAAACATATTAAAAATGTAATGAATAAAAGATCATTAGGTGCAAAAGAAAATAAATAAATATTTGATTTGACTTGAAACAAATTGCAGTATTTATTTTTAGCAACATTTTAAGCTGCGGCATGGTAGAAAGGGGCTGTGCGGACGGAACATCACTTAGTGGCACCTTTGTGCAGTTTTTCGACTTTTGTTTATAACTATAGCATATTTCATTTTTACATATATAACGTATGAGCCAATTTGATATTTTTACAGCACTAACACATACAAGCATACATACAAGTATGTAAGTAAACATTGGCAGTTATAAACAAACATTTTTATATAGAGGCGTGAAGAAAGTGTGTGTAACACACAATTAGGCTTGTGCTTTTGTTGCGAATTTTTGTCGGCAGCTTTGTGATATCTGCCAACAACTGCAATGCGTCGATGGACTTAATTGCCAAAAGTTTTCGACGTACGTTTTTTTTCTTTTTGGAAACAACCATTGATATACAATGGATTTGTGAAAAAGCGACATAAAATTTTAATGGCTATTGCTTTATAAAAGTGAGTCTCTGTATATATACTTTTATATAAATGTTACGCAATTTTAAATAAAATTATCAAAGAAGCCGCTTTTTATGTTCATCAAGCGCTTTGTAGCTCTGAACCATTTTCTTTACTGCTCTTGATTTACATAAAACAGTTAATTAGAAAAGTTAAGTGCAAATGTATGTTTGCATATATAATTTTAATTATACACCTTGAACAGAGTATATTAAGTTTACCACGAAGTTTGTAACAGTCAAAAGGGCACAATAGACGCTAGCTCGCGTTGCAAACCTCATACAATTTCTAACACCGAGAAGGAAATGTCGGTGACCCTATGTAGTCATCCAACCAAAATTTACATAAAAAAATTTTTTTTTTATGCGAAACATTGTTTTTTTGCGTTCTTTCAGGCAAAATAAATATTATTTATACACGTATTTTTTTATTTCGATACGAAATGCGCTAGTGGCAAACGCGAGAGACAAAGTTGAAGAAAATTTGTCAAAATTACAACTGAAACTTATAAATTAGTTACAGAAAAGTCGCATGTACATTTTTCAAAAAATAATAATATTAAAAAAAAAAAAAAATGGTTCCAAAAGAAAAAAGTGCATAATTTTAATGCGGCTCTCATTGGAAAGCTGGGAAAAAAATCATAAACATTAAGCCGTCTAGTTAATTTTATAATGAATTTAAAGGTACTTTTTTCAATCGTTGAAATCTTGAAAAATCGTAACTCCAAAATGTTTCATATTCAGTACAATATTTTGCCTCAAAAAACATAGAAAAAAACTGTTTTGCACAGAAAAAAATGTTTATGCGTTTATTTTCTAAGGAATGACCCATACGAAACACACCTCGTATATAATATACCTATATAAATGGTCAGCTTGACAAGCTGCGTCGTTTTAACCTTGTCCGTGTCCGTCTGTATATAAGCGTGCTTTTCACACAGTTTTTGAGATATCAAACTGAAATTTTGCACACATTCTTTTCTGCCAAAAAAAGCTACGCATTTGTCGCAAACGTGGACGAGTACTAAGCTTCGGTGCAGCCGAAATTAACGTTTTTTTATTTTTTTCTTATTTACCCTTCGTTAATTTCATATTGACCAAGTTGCCAACTTTTTCTTAGACATCTTATTTAAATTCAATATTCTTTTCGCCTCCTGCCATTTTAACAGAAATTTTTTGTATTTACGCTTATTTTTAATTTTCGCAATAAATTTTCACCAAGCTTGTTGGCGTTGCGGCGCAGCTGAGGAGCAACGCTGACAGCTGCCAACCGCATGTTAGCAAATCAAACACATTTAAGTATGTGCATTTAGTAGGCGTCGGCATTGTATACATTACACTCATTAATTGGAAAATATGCCGCTTCACTTTCTGCAAAATACCAACAGCAACAATCTAAAATCTACGTAAAAATGCGCATATTGTTACAATTTTGACGCTGTGGCGTACATGCCAAATAAGCGACGCGACGGCACAAAATGGAATTCTAATTTGCACCCAACGTACACATGCAGAGAATGACAATTCGCAAAGTCGATTGTTTTTCAGTTTATTATTATTGTTTATTTTTGTTGTGTTTTTGTTTGTCGCTTGCATTCTTGCTTTACTTAAGCCAATTCGAGGCACACGTATGCGGATAGGTGGGGATATGTGGGTGTGAGTGTACTAAATTTACTTCGTGCTACTAATAAGAATATTTTGTTTTGTACACAAATATGTCTGTATGTAAGATTGTGTGTATAAATGTATTTAGCAAATGCCAATTTTCGCGCGACAAGCATACGAAATGGCGCCTATGGCTTTGGCATTGGCGTTGGCGTGCGAGTAAAAATTTTGTAATTTTAGGTGATTTAAGGAAAGCTGAAGAAGGAAAGCAAGTTGGAAAAAAGCGAACGAACTGCGCGCAGGAATGAAATTAAATTAGAGTAAATAAATGATTAGAAAACGTGTTAGCGCACTAAAATGCCGTTAACATGACAACGCGTAATGCAATTGTGGACTCCAGCTGTTCAACCGCAGCACGAACAGATCGTGGAAAACAAAAACCGAAAATAAATAAAACGTTCTACAAATGTACTGCGGTATGTACACAGCTTAGCGCCAACTGAATACACAAAATATTGAAAAAGTATTTTATCTCAAATGCTTTTTGTTATTCCTCTTTAGCGGTTATCAACTAGCAAGCGATATCTAATTATGCTGTGAGCAAGCAAATAGCAGCGCAGCGCACTTAAATCAATAGCTCGACCACAGCGCAGCAGTTCTGTCACGCTGGGTATTTCCACTTCAATTACTAGTGCTAAAACGACCAACTTTTTCTTAAATAAAGTTCAAATTGAATGTGAAAACAAAAGAGCGCCAATGATAAGTGCAAACGACAAGTATAAAAAAGTTGAAAGGCACAAGTGGTGCGAGTGGTCACTTTCCAGTACTTTGTAGTTCCACATAGACAGCGCCACACAATTAAAAGTGCCGGGAAAATCGCTTTAATTGCGCTAGAGCTTTTGCTGTTATCTCTCTGCTTTAAGCTTTAAGTAGCTTATACCTTTCGATTGGTCAAATGGTAGGTAAATTTAGTCGTTATAAACACACCTGAGAAAATTTTAAAAAACAAAATAACCGAAAGTTGGCGCAAAATTTTGATAGCAGTCAAATGCCGTTTGTTTTCGATATTTGCTTCTAATATTATTAAAACTTAACGCTTCACCAAATATTCGAACAAATTTCTTTTATTTGAGAAAAAATTTCAAAAAAAAAATCATAGAAAAAAAAAATTCATATCCAAAAAAAATTCATATCAAAAAAAAATTCATATCAAACAAAATTTCATTTCCTGTGAATTGATATTGAAAAATATAAGACTTTGAGCATTTTTCAACGACTGCATATACATGTCGCGATAGCTGATATTCTCATTTCAGTGTTTAAAATTCAATAGTGATATATTGGAAATAATTCGAAACAAACACTTTTTATAACATAAGCTGATTCTGTTAACATTTTTATAATACTTCAACTGTTATCAACACTTTCACTTTCTCATTCGTTTATGTCGTACGTTAGAATTAAAAAAATAAATAAATAAAAATAAACACATTGCTAAATTATAGCGAAATTCGGTTGCCGGATTGATCTGCTGTTTGGAAATGTTCAATAACGCTATTCGATACCGACCAAAATTGAACTAATAAACAGTTTTCGAACTCCCAACATGTGTGTGCTCATATGTACAAAAAATTTGCAAAGCTAATCGACAGCGTTTGTACTGATAACTCTCGAAATACTTGCGCGCGCGTAAGATGGCTAAGCTAAAATTTGTGTTACACACATTATTAGTGGATATGATAAGATAAGATAAAATTAACATAATAGCGGTAAACGCTCCAGAAGTTATTTTATGTAGAGTGAAGGCTCATTCCAAATTAATAAATAATTGGTGTTGAGAAATGTGAAATTTTATTTTAGAGAATAAAAACGAGGGAAAATAAAAAAAATTATGGAAACAAGTAAGTAAGGGTTAAGTTCGGGTGTAACCGAACATTTCACATTCACTAACATATCTGATCAACCGATCGATAGTTTTGGAAAAAAATTCGTTTGCAATAGGTACTGGCATCCATATATGCGGTAACTGAGCGCGTGAATGGGTATGGTCCGACTTGAACAATTTTTGTAAAATTATGTGTTTCTAACGCAATTATTTATTGATTTATCGCGCTTTTAGTAGTTTTTAACAATAACGTTATATGGAGAGCGGCCGCGGTTATCAACCGATTTCATTCATTTTTTCCATGTCGATAGGGGTACTTAAGAGATTTGTCTTAAGCAAATTTGATTATCATAGCTTGTATAGTTTAGGAGATATTAGTACATTAAACTTATTAGAGGCCGGGGCCACGCCCACATTTTAAAATTTTTTTCAACCATAGATGCGCCTGGCTTATGCAATGCGCTGTACTAAATAACAGCCTTGTATCCTATTGTGGTGTCTAGTTATGGCACTTTATATGTTTTCAACTAATGTTGAGTTTTGTAGGCGTGACAATAGTCCGATGCCACTCATCTATAATACCAAATCACCTTTGGTGCCAAGTAGTGCCAAGGAGCATATGTACTAACTTAAGTTAAATCAATTTTTACTCAAGTTATCGCTTGCAGAGACGGGCGGATGGACAGACAGACAGTCATTCGGAATTCAACTTGTCTGGTCAACTTTTATATATACATATATAACCCCATATCTATCTCAATTAGTTTTAGGCGATACAAACAACGTTAGGTGCACAAAACTAATATACCCTGTAGCAACATGTTGCAAGAGTATACAAATTCAACTGATGACAATATATTCTTCATAACTAAGTCGAGGCAGAACTTTGGTAAAATATGTTATACTTACATTATGTGCACACGGCTGTAGTGAATATTTATGTACTCGTACTTTTGTTTTTGGCAGAATTTTCGTTAAAAACTTGATAGATGGGCTTTTAGCAGCATTATGTTCAACAGTTTATTAACACTTTAGTAAAAAAAAAATTCTAATATTAAAGCCAACACAGTTTTTTTGATTTTATAATTCTCAAAACGCACACACAAACATACTTATGTACATGCATCTTTGTTAAACTGTTCATGAACTCTGTGGCAAGGGTTAATGACTAAAGCAAAGTGTGCTGAGCAAATAACTCAAACAAAAAACATATTTTTTTTAATACTTTCAATATAATTTTACAATATATTATATAAAAAATATATAACAATCTATATTTTTTTTTACATATGTATTAAGACAATTATTTTTATTATACACATCCTAATTAAATAATTTAGTCATTTCAGTTACTTCCAACTTCTCTAAAAGTAATGTGAAATGAAAAAACTCGGAAATTGTAACTGTAAATAATGCATACATATGTGCTTCATAATATATCATCATATGTCTCGTTTCCACTTCACCGACATTCATACGTTTTTCTCACATTTAATCTGTGTGCAAAATGTGCGAAATGCCGAAAACAAAAGCGCAGTGAATTCTACACTCGGTCAGCTGATAAAAGCTGAGCCGGCGGTTATCGCCAACGCTGATTGTGCTTCGTTTGAATTTTCTTTCGTTTTTAGGCTTTACGACTTATGCAATTTTTAATTTTTAATTGCTTACGTTTTTACTTTTAAATTAAAATATTTAATTTTGTATAAATTTAATAAGCATTTCTGCTGAATAGCACCGAATTGCGCATTAACAAAGCAATTAAGAGTTGAACTCAAACGAATTTTCATTTTATTTATTTTTATTCTTTCAAATTTAAATTATGAATTTTCTCGCCCCAAAACACATTTAAATTTTTTTATTTGTTAAAATTAATTAAAATTTGTACTTATTATTTTGACAGATCAACATACACAAATAAACGAATTTATGTACATACACATATGTATGTGCAAAGAAATGTCTGTATGTTTCTGAGCTCTGGCAGCATTGCACGATGGCACTTCTTCCGCATTTACAACTGCGTCATTTTTCCCGGTTTTTGCCCCCTACTTGGAAGTAATAGATAAACAACAAAATACAGAAATAAAATAAATTATGAATGTTGAACAGACACAAAATAATGTCAAAATTTTATTTGTTGTTTTTACTAAATATATAATAAAATATTTTATGACACAGTTACTTTTTACGTATTTTATAGCATTTTTTTTTTATAACTTGCATTTACTTTTAATTAAACATCATTCCAAATCATACATTTTCACTTAATCCGGCATATCATTTTATATTTGTTTTTAGTGTTGATTAATTTTTTTTTACTTTTCTCTGCCTTTTCCCCGCAACGATTCCGGTATCATAACAGAATTTTTCCAGAACGAAAGCTGACTGAACCGACCAACGACGTTTAACTGACGTACCGACATATAAACCACACAGCGACCGCAGAAAACGAGCTAGAAAACTGCCAGCATTCACTAGGAGACCACGGAATTAAAAAAAAAAAACAAAAAAAATGAATCTAACTATCTAGAGACGTAGACCCAACATTTACTCGCAACTTTTATCGCAGACGAATAGAATAATACTGAATGCACACAGCTCTCAGCCAATTCACAACGCAACGCAACAACGACTAACGACTGAGAATAGTCGCCGATAATCTGCTACATTCGTGAGAGTGCGCCGCGCTAACGGCTGCCACTCAGCTGTTGCTCAATTGCAAAATGCGCAACTCCTCAACTCCCCAGGCCCCAATCGACCAGCCGCCAGCTCCAAGCGCCCAGCTTCAACTCCCAACTATCGTATTTAAAGAGAGCATGAGAGTGACTAGCAATTGGCGCAGGCGAGCGACATAGTTGAGCGAAAAGGGTTGATACACAAGTGTGGGTAAGTGTAATCTATGAAAATGTTTTTTGTGTTAGCTTGACAATCAAACGCAATTTTTCTTTAATAGTTAACACTGAATATTAGCTGTAAGTTAATAATTCGACACCTACTGCCTTAGTTTCGGCTACCACAATCAAACTATTGATATGTTATACCTTTTGAGCTTACCAAAACAAATTCTTAACATATCCTATCAGCGCTAAGCAAAAAAAGACTCGGCAATTTGCATTTAAATATGAGCAAATGTCAAATTCACCACGAAATAAAGAATATTTATTACTCTTCAGTAACTCAACGTTTCTCTTTAATTTGTTTTCTTTTTTTCTTGCTATACGAGGTGTCAACGAAATGATCATACACGCTCTCGCTCGCTCTCATCCACACTCGCCCTCTCTCTTTGTGTTCAGCTCTGTGCGCGTTTCTCGCACTTTATCGCAGCGAATGAGCTCCACAAACAAGTAAAATACACAATACATATATCACACAACAACGTAAATTGCAGCAAAAACATACAACAACAAGAGCAAATCTATTTTTAAACTCATTTTAATATTGTTCTTTATTTTATCAGCGTGGTGTGCTCAACAAAACAAAAAAATAAAAAATAATAATAATAAGTACGATTCAACGTCAACGTTAACGGCAATGGCAACAGAACAACAATAACAGCAACAACATGCCGAATTAATATTATCTACACGCCATGCCCGTGTGTAAAGACGAGTGTCTATAGCAAACAAATAAAAACTGACGGCTGAATGACTGGACGGACAGACCAAATCTTAACGAATATATGGACAAACGCACACAACTAAGAACAACGCGGGAGAACAGTGGACAGCGCGTACATTTGATACATGTGTAAAACTTAGATCGACCTACCGTTTACCTGCCTTTCGAAATTTACTTCTCTACGGACACACGTTTTACAGAATGAAGACCAAAGGCAATGGTTTCAGAACCGCGTAGATCTGAACCCACGCAGCATATGTGTACGATCCAAGGTGCAAAAATGCAAGGGTAAATTGTGAAATATATTTATAAATAGTTTTGGTAGATTATTGGTTTCGAAAATGCGCTTTTCTTATATTCTTGAGGCCTTAGACTTCACGACACACAGTAAAGTCAAATTTTTCCAGATTTCATATTGCAATGATAGATATTTAAAGCTTTAGTCTCAATATTGCTATGTAAAAATCACACGCAATATTTGAGGGTTCTGACACTAACTTAAACCTTATACAATTCGACGAAAAATCGCTATACTCACTTCCTTTAAAAATGTATGTATGGTATATTATTGTTATGTTTCGTTAATATCATTAATCTGTGGCAACTTTGAATCTCCACAACATAGCAAATACCCGCAACTACCAGCTGCTACGACAATTTATAAGATGCTGATGCCGATTCGCTAATACAAGTATATACATCAATACATACATAGGTCCTTTGACAATAAGTTGCAATTAGTTTGGATGAAAGCAGCCTAACAAATATTGGCTCGATTATATTATATAATCAACGGCGAATATTTAGCTTAATTTCATGCATAATAGATTGACAATTAGCGCGAACGTGCAAACATTATTATCAAAAATGAATGACGTCAATCGCTAGTTAAGTGGCTATTAATATGAAAATTATAGAACTGTTCTAATAAATAATTGACAGATAAGATTGTGCACTTGCGCCAATAATTCCTACCGTTCTCAAGTGTCATCTATCAACACTTGCATTCAAAAGTGTAAACTATAATTAATGAATGATAAATCCTTAATAGCTTCAATTACATCAAGTTAAGTGCACAATTTTTCATTCATTAAAATCACAGTGAATTTGCAAAGATATCCGTATAATAATTCGCATGCTTTCGCTCTCCACCTCGTTCGGTCGCTTTATGTAATTCTCTCTCGATCGGGCATACACACTGATGACTACAGCTTCGTTAGATCGCCGTCTCGTTTTAGCTCTGCGGCATACTAGTGCCCAGCCCACTAAGGCTAGAGCGCAGGTGAGCTCGACTTGGCGTAAGCAACCCCCGAAACGGCATTGGCTCTGCATAATTGTGTGTGCGGTTTTTGCGCAAATTTCTTTCCAACTATAACTGTTCAAATCTGTGAAATATTTAGCATTTCCCTAAAGTACTACTACTCGCCGTGTCTCTTTGTGCGCTTTTTTCGCGCGAATCCACTTTGCTTTTCATTCCCTAAAAGCACTCCGAACAGAATCTACCAAGTATAGCATTGTCTGCTTTGTTTACTGTTGTTTACTTCACTTCACTTCCCTTCGCACACACACACGCACACTGCTCCCTCGCAAATTAAATGCCAACGTTGAAGATCGCGGCGATCTTGAGATTTGCGCTCATCGCATACGACAAATACACATATTTATATGGCTACATATTTTCGTGCCTTCATTCCTCCATTGTTTCCTTCTGATTTTAGCCCCTTCTCCGCCCAGCGCGTACAAATCAGCATCTCTGCTCAGTTTCGTGAAAACAGTCGCTGCTCAGCGCTCGACGCGCGGCGCCTGACACTGCCCGTAATATTCGTTCACCGCGAATACAAATTGGTTAGTCGCCACTTGTGTAGCGTTTGCATTACGCCTACTTCATAAGAGTAAAAGAATCCGCACAAAACGCCAGCTCTCCAACCGCTTCCTCGACATCTGCCAGTGGCGTCTGCCTCTGAAGGTGCGTATTACGGCAGCTCGAGTGTCGACACAAAAAGCAAAAGTTTACTTTGTACTCGACATGAAAATAAACACGAAATCGCTTCTGCTACTGATAAGATGTCGCAGTGCGGACTAATCTTTATTACGCGCTCGTTTAGCGCATATTCGCCACATGCACACATACATACACAGTTCACTATAGTAGTTCAAATCGTGAAATTTTACTCGTCCAGCGGCTGTGCGCCTGCAGCCGCCGGCATTCACAAGTCACATATGAGTTTGTCACTTTATTAGACGGCCTTATATACAATATATTCTTGATAGACTGTGTATGTTTGTATGTGCGCGCGTTAGTATTTATTTTGCGATTTCATTTGCACTACTTGTTATTCCGTCATTGGATCAAAAGGAAATGATAAATAGTTGCACACAGAATTCGTGTTTTGCTTTTATTGCAAGCCCCAGACGACATGCGAGCATTACCGCATGTGTGTGTGTGTGTGTGTGTGCATAAATGGCGCACATATCGGCGCTTAGTGCGTTAGTTAATTAAACATTTCAAGAATTTAAGCTTTATTGGATTTTCTCTGTAAGGTCATTCATATAAAAAGACGCGCTTAAGACTAAAATGATTGAGAAACCCAGAAGTGTGCATATTTAAAGAGAAGGCGTTGATTATTAATGTTGAAAGCAAGCCCAAACGGTGTTGCAGTAGGCTTGAAAGAGTTTTGGACAACTTGACCGAAACGCTCGAAATTTCACTAAAGAATGCGAAGCATATCTAGCAGTTCTTTAAAATTAAATATTAAATATTGAGATTCTTACGAACTAAACAAAGCAGGTATTACTGGCCTCACAACAGCCTGAGCTTACACTATGGATAATGACAATCGAAATTCGTAATAAAATGCTGAAATGGAATGCGTTTAATCTCATCCAAACGTTCGTGAGCTGATGTAATAGATATACTCAAGTACGAGATAAATTTCATATCGTCGTAAACAAATCCCATATTGCACCAAAATCAAAGCCATCCGTATTCTTTGGCACATCGCTAAGAGGTGTGCTCAAAATGAATACGAGGCAAACAAAACAATCTGCACTTTCTAGATCCTGTTCCGTTACAGGATCGGACCGGTATTTTTATACAGCAATATTCTTAGAAAAATTATTGGTGAAATGTTTCTGCCGTTTCTACAATAACAATTTGAAGACTCAAGCTAACTGATAATATTTGTTTCCATTGAATAATCTGCTCGAACTTGCACTCTCAATGTAAAAGTCTATATACATATCATATAAGTAGGGATTTAACCAAACACCTGCGCTCAAATGATAAACAAAAGGAGAAGAACAAAGCGCGATAATACATATATATATAATACATTTGTACAGGCTGGTTGAAAAACTTTTGCTCTCACCAAGAAACAACACTAATAGCTCCAAATTTTTGCTCAAGTTGGTACATTTGTTTTGAGAACACATGCAAAGCTACAAGTTATTCTGTCAATTAATTCCTTGTTTACAAGCCATTTGAAGTTGTTGTGTCAGAGTATTTTCTTAATATGGAAAAAATAAAATATCGCGCATTGATTAGATTCTTTGTTTTGAAAGGTTTAAAAGCGAAAGAAATTTATAAACAATTGTTAGAAGTGTATAAGGAGTCCTCACCTTCAAAACGCAAGTTGAATTTTAGCCTGGTGAATTTAAACATGGTCGTACTGGGTTTGAAGACGATGCACGCGAAGGACGACCAATAACCGCAACCACACCAGAAATCATTGAGCAAGTTCATAATATTGTTAGTGAAGAACCAAGTTTGACTAAGCGTGAAATTGCTAATGCCATAGGCATCTCAGACGAACGAGTACTTCATGTTTTATATGGAGAATTATTAATAATTATTATAAAAATTAAAAAGCTGTTTGGAAACACACGTTAACAATTTAACAAAAACTGAATCGAAAACAAATTTCTCAGTGGTTTTATAACTATGGATGAGACTTGGAACTACCTGATCCTAAATTGAAACAAGAACGTTTACAGTGGACTGAAGCTGGTTGTTCAGCTCCAAAGCAGGTGAAGTCACAACGATCAGCAAATTTTTCATTTCAAACAGAAACTTTACAACCAACCTGTACATATACATTTGTATATATAAAATATTAATTTGTGAGCAAAACAAAAACCTGACAACAGAAATCGTGCAAATCTGCCATGAATGCCGGAATTTTCGCTGTAGAATGAAACATAAACCTTACAACAGCAGTAAGGACTGCTGAGAACCGCTGCTGCCAATATGCATGACAATCAAAAATAGGAAAATAAATTGAAAAAGTTTATAAGTTCGCCGTTGATTTCGCATGAAATGCCAAGGTAAATTTTTCTACCTTATTTATTTGAGGTATTCACTATCTTTTGCACGCACATACATGCATCCACATGCATGATATAAAGTTTTCAACGGAAAAAGTAAGTCTGCATGTGCCTTTTAAAGTAAAGTTTTCAGTCCAAAAACTGACTGATTGACCGCTTTAACTTACTGGAGGTGATCATGTTATTGTTAAAAGATATTTCGTCAAGCTTGGCCTACATTTTTGGAAACATATTAGTTTTCTATGCAAAGCTTTTACGAATGGCAGTCTGAAACTGTTTTCGTGTGACCCAAACAACCGGCAGCCACCAAACTTCTAAAAAAAATTCTAAAACAATAACTTCTGTTCAAAAAATCAGGAAGCACCTGCATAACATTAAATAGTAGGAAAACAATCTCAGTCCACCCACTACACTCACACACACATCGCAAAAGAATAGTAAGTCTCACGAGCAAGAAGCAGCAGCAACTTGTTGAATCATCATCGTCAAATGAAAAGCAGACATCGGGATTCAAAACGGCAAGTAATACCATCGTGATCAAATTATAACCGCATTAAGAAGGGCTGCAGGTATCAGAGGTATCAGCGTTTGTAGAAGACATTTCAATTTGCGATAATCTCTTCCCGGCAGCAGATAAGAATTCGAGTTATAATAAAAATTCATACAAATCAACATTACGACACAAATACATACATACATATGTATTTACATACAGATGCATAATTTTATATTACAACGAAAAGAGTGTTGGAAGAACTGAGTAGAGTAGAGTAGACTAGAGTAGAAGAATTGACGCGCATTGTATTAAATGTTGGGGAAAGACACCAGCACCACCGCTAAAATGAACAATAAAAGTGCGCGTTGTAGCAAATATGTAACATCAGGCACGAAAAAATGGCAAAGATTTATAAATAACAATCTTTATCAGTCGTCGCTGGCATATTACAAAAATGTACACTTGTGTGTGTGTGTGTATGTGTGTGGGAGAGCACGCCACTTCCCCAAATGCAAATTGAAGAGCGCACACTTTTCTCTGGATCAGCCATCCACATGTGCAGAGAGGAGACGCTAAAGAGCGTGAGCCAACTCCGTTGTGGCGCCAACCAACAGCGCTCGCAGAGAGCGCGTATGGTGTTTGATCGTGGTAGAGATGTTACAAAAGCAAAACAAGAAATGTAATAAACAAGTGGAATAATAGAAGAAAACCGAATAAAATGCACCGTACGTAACATGTACATATATATGTACATAGTATGTGTGCATATTATTATCTACACACTACAAATATGGATTCCTTGTAGTAAGAATTCAAATTAGTTTATATAGTATATGTGTACAGTTACTGACAATAAAATAGAATCAAATAGTTGTTTCCAAAATAGTTAACAATCTTTATTATTTGTCTGATAGATTTCCGACGTTTTTCTGTAATCGATTCTTACAATATTTGTCTTTTAAACGCCACGATGGTGGCTCTGTTGCATTTTACTGTTATATTTGGTTTTAAACTAAACAAGTGTGCTTTTGTTGTCGTGACAAAAAACATGAGTGAAAGAATAAAAATATCAATTATGGGCGTTATTTAGTAAACAATTACAGAATATTTGTTAAAACTTGACATTTTGTTACAATTAAGTATTATTTGTAGAAGAAATGGACCAAGGAAAACATTGCGCAGCGGCAGAGCGGAAGCTCATAAAAAATTTACAAAATAACGATTATACTCAAAGGAAAATTACAAAAACTAAAAAAATATTCCAAAAGTTTCTGTTTACTGCTTTGAAACCATCAAAAAATGCGAATTGAGTGGACGGCCACGAAAAACGATGTCTCGGGATGACAATTACATAGAGATCTTTATCGCCCTTTAAGGTCCTCTTCAACTATGCAAAGTGAATTTGGTGTACAAAATTTTTTGAGGACTGTTACGTGTCGCCTTGTAGGATACACAACAAATAATTTCAGCAGGTGGTAATATCATGTTATGGGGATGTTTTTCGTGTTACGGAGTCGGACTGCTGTTTTGGATGCGGGAATTAAACACCGTTCGCACTACTTTAGAATTTCAGGGGATGTAATCCTACCTGTGTTGAATGGAACATGTCTTTAGTTTGGCAGTTCCAGCAAGGCAAGGACCCGAAGCATACCTGGGGTCAAGTCTTGGCTACAATATTAAGGTATCGATATTATGATTTGACCGGATTTAAGTCATATAGAAAATCTGTGGAAAATTGTAAAGGAAAAATTGGGACCCATTAAACCACATGAATAAGGAGGAAAAAGCCCAAGAAGCGTGATATGCAATACCGTATTTAGTCTTTAAAGCTCTAGTGGAATCTATGTGCCGTACTCGCAAATTTTGGTTTTACTACCAAACTCTAACTTATATACATTTTTTAGTTATAATAGTTTACACCTTACGGATTTTGGTTCCATGATTCTATTTTATTGAAGTACTTGACAGTTTATTTAAAAGTTGTCTGCTGATTACATTTAAATATATATTTAGTAATTTTTGCTTTTGAAATGCTTAAAATAAATTTTATTAACTATAAAACATAAATGTTTCCTCCTAAGAACTGTGGCAACACTTTTCTTTTGCAAATAGTTGTGAACAAAATTTTCATTCTATTTTATTGTCAGTGACTGTATATATATATACATATATATAGCATATAACTGAAGGCATAAGAATACCACTCGCTGGATTAGGTTCGGAAGACTAATCCACAAAGTGATAAAGAACACTGTAGAAGAACCAAGCTTTCGAGAGTTCGGTATGATTGTCAAGAAAATTTAAAGCCGACCACAATTCCGAAATTTTTATAGAACTATTATAAAACACTTTTGAACCCTTGTGACCAGAGTTAAAGGTCTTGCAAACTATATACAAGTTTTCAAAAAGTCCGATACTGAAATTCTTACTAATAATGCGCACATAAAATGCTATACATATATGCCAATATATCGGAAGTTAATTTACGACAAAAAAAAACCACAAAGACACGTTAACTTCGTTTGCACCGAACCTACAATACCCTTCACGAATACAATAGATCAGTTCCATGCCCAATTTAGTAAAGATATCTCATCAAAAGATAAAGGTTTCCACGCAAGCACTTGATTCCGATCGTTCAGTTTGTATGACAGCTTTATGCTATAGTGATCCGATCTGAACATTTTCTTCGAAGATTACATTATTGTCTTAGCTAATATTCTAATAATAATAAAATAAATAAATTTCCTTCTGGGTGTTACAAACATTGTGGCAAACTTAATATACGCTGTTCAGGGTATAAATATGGTTATTCTTATCAGATAGTAGTAAATATATTCGTGGCACCTCTAACACTTTCGCTGTAGACCACCTTAGCATTATGATTGTCCTTCCCTTTTCGGTTTCCGGGTATACATATGTATGTATACGTAAAAGAAAATTAACTTCAGCTTAAATATCTTTAACATTATGATAGATAAAGTGCCTAAATTTTCGAACACGTAGTATTTGGCTTAAAGTGGTAAATCAATATTACCTGGAACCGTAACAATTTTTTTTTCTGAAGAAGGCCAACCAATTGTGGGTGTAATCCAATATTTATTGGCCGAGGTGCTTTTGTAATAATAACAAAGTAACGTCCACATTAGCGGAAAACCGTAAGGGAGGCAACTCTGGCCAAGATAAAGGCGCATCTTATCAACGAAGGATTGTCGTACGCGCTCAGATGAGAGGAGTTGCAAACAAAGCACAAAATTCCACAGAGTATAAAACAAGAGGCGAGCGCCACACCGCAACTAGTGAAATATTATTATCACGGATTACGCTCTACCTACTAATAAATAAGCATGCAACAATAGCAACAACAACACAGGCATGCTAAGCTAAATGTTTGTATGTATAAAGGAAAATATATAGGCAGTTTTGTAAATGAATGAAAATGATCATGTGTATGTGTGTAGGTATGTATGTAAATATGCAGTTAGGGAACGCGTACTCACACTACTCAGAGGATGTTAAACGAATTTATTAGTTACGACAGCCGCTAGAAAACGGAACACGTGCATATTTTCCGCAGTCAATTTCGAGCACAAATACTACAAACATATGTATGTAGCTACATATGTATGTGTGTTTTCCACTTTATTTCACTTGTTTATTTATTGCATTGTTGTAAATAATATGCTTCGACTATGTTTGAGTGTATATGCAAATACACACATATATATATATATATACATATACAAACATATATGTGCACTCGTGTGTATGCGTTGTATTAATTCTCACTTATTATTTTTCACTTTTTAACAACTTTACATGCACACACACACATACATGCATTGCATGGTTGTCAAGCATGTAAACTGCACTTGTTGATTTGTATTGATTCTGTAAACCAGAAAAGCGGTGCACAACAACACGGCGTGTAAATAAATAAAATAACACAAATTTACATATTTGAAATCAAAAGAAAAACACAAATACGTAAATATTCAACTTTTCTATTATCAACGACGGAATCTTGAAGCTACGCAGATCGCGACCACTTGCAAGCGCACACACATGAACACATGTACATATGTATGCATCTATATATGTGTTTCGATATGAAAATGGCACGGTGCCACCACGACAACAACCGCAGTCAACCGCTCTCTTTCAACACGATTCGCGGAATGAGCGCAACGGCGAAAACCGTTCGCAAGATCTGTCGTACGAAGAGCGTTTGACGTCGACAGAAAACGCTCTTTTAATAGCGCTGGCGAACTCACCATGCACTAAGTCAGTAAATAGCATGGTGCCTACTCACTAACTATTTTCGTTTGGTCTTTTTTTAGTAAGTTTGGATTTCTCGTTCACTGTCAATTTTTTGTAAGCAATGTTTTGCCGCTTTGGGCGTTTTTCACACACTTACATACTTGTACATGTGTAAATAACAATACCACAAATCCGCCACACACCACAAGCTTAAGCGCTGCTTTGCTTTGTTAGCAAATTTGTTTGAAAACACAAAATTTTGTAAAACCAAAGAATAAAAAAAACGCACGAAAATTAAGAAGAACTGTTCGAACAACAGAAATTGCAAACCGTTGACAGATTGGAATTTGGTATTTTTCAAACGCGCCAACAGTCACAACAGCAACAGCTACTACAATTCGGAATTTCTGCACGCTTGCAAAGTAATTTCCCACAAGTGAAAACGCAAATAAATAAAAACAATTTTAAATTAATCGCCGTCGTTAATTGCAATACAAAGGTGCAACTGCAACACACGCACGGAAATGAAAATGAATTTATCACGGATCACATTCGGAACGCAACAAGCACGATAAACAAAACACAAAAATACACGTCACATCGTCGCGCGAAGCTCTTTACAACTGTCCACTACGCTGGCACTGGAGTCAATCTCTACCAACAGCAAGCAGCAGCAGTAGCAGCAGCATACATTTCATTGCTCACTCGCTTGCCGTCAGTTTCATACTTTTATTTTTCGTATTCTTTGTCCATTTGACACTTCGCTAAGTAAGAGGCCACTTGGCGTCCGCACGTTTCGATAATTGTCGCTTCAGCACGGCATCATTGACAACAACTGACTGTCCGTGCGAGAGCGAGCGTTCAATAGTACACGCCGTGGCATCTGCTGCTGCCGCAATCACAAACTCAACACAATCACAACAACACAACTGCAGAACATCACAACAATCGCGGCAAATAGACGAGCTGGCTGAAAGCAAGCCAGTCAACTAGGGTAGTGCGCGAATAGCTGTTGGAGAACCGGCGCAAGCAATAACGTTCGCATTGGAACACCCTGTTGGGAGTGGGCGGGCGCGCACACGACGTAGCACCACCACATTGTACGAGTAACCGGTTATGCGGAGTTGTATGGCACCAAACAAGTATGGTGGAAAATGTCTGCCTCAGAGGGTGACCAGCATGTCGAGAAACAAATTTAAAAAGGAAACGGATATGAGCGTAAGTAGCATTTTATTTAAAATTTGTATTGTATACTACAAACAAGAAAATTAATACTGATTAAACAGCTGATGATGTCTAATTTGGTATGCTTCGCCAATAAGTGTAGCAAATTCCGTAACTTATGGCAACTACAAACAACAAGCTAATTAATTCATCACTTGATTTTGTTAAAATACGCTCTTGGCGCACATTCTCCATGCTCTGACTGAGTGCTCATTCATCTCCAAGTAGCTTTGGCTATGGCAGAACGCGCTGGAGTCTAACGAAGAGAGCGTTACAGTTGGAGTGTTGTGAACACAATAAAGAACAGCAAGTAGCAGTTAAGTGATTAGTTGAAATTTGAGAAGCCAATAGAAAACAGCTGTTTGAAAGTCCACAAAGCAAACTCATTTTTGATAAGATTACATTTCAATATAAAACAAAAATAAGATTTCAATCGCGCATATAGAAATTTGAAGTTGCAGATTTTGCAGTGTAAAGACAAGAGACTCGCCGTCGAAAGTAAACACGACGCAGTAAAGCGTAAAGATTGCAAGAGAAAAAAAAGTCACATACTTGCAGAAGCAGCTGATATCATGAGTAACGCAACTGCAACGACGTCTCATCAACGCCGCATACTCTGTGTGGGCATGTGTGTGTTGGACGTCATACATGTGGTGGAGCAATATCCCGCGGAGGACACCGACAAGCGCTGTCTAGCCGGCTATTGGCAACGCGGCGGCAATGCTTCCAATAATTGCACTGTGCTGCGGCAACTTGGCGCGCCACAAGTCGAATTTCTGGGCATGTTAAGCGCTTCACCTGCCTTTGGATTCCTGTACGAAGACTGCCGCAAGCGTAACATTATTATCGAGAATTGTCCAAAGACCGATATGGATCCACCATTTTCTTCGGTCATACTCAACAAAGCCACCGGCACACGTACAATCATTCACTCAAATCCCGGCTTTCCACCTTTGCAATATGAACAGCTCACGTCACTTGACTTAAACAACTATGGCTGGGTACATTTCGAAGGACGCAATAATGAGTCGGTGCTGAAGCTTATACAAAACATACGTAACTATAATATAGAGTTGCGAAACCCAAAGGATCGTATACGCATATCCGTTGATTTGGAGAAAATGAAAGATGAAATACTGGAGCTGGGCGAGGTGGCTGATTTTGTTTTTTTGGGCAAAGATTTGGCAATACACTTGGGCTGGCGCGAACCGGCGGCAGCTGTAATGGGTTTATATGACAGGATCAAACCACAGAAGCAGTTGGGTGATTCGAAGCCGGCTATTATATGCCCGTGGGGTGCGGAGGGCGCCGCTTGCGTAGATGCGCTGGGCAATTATGTATTCATACCGTCGAAACCGGTGTCCGAAATTGTGGACTCGCTTGGCGCAGGCGATACCTTCTGCGCTGCCGTTATATATGCATTACAAGTGCTGCAGAAAGGTTTACCGGAGGCAGTGCTCTTTGGACACGATGTTGCTGGTTACAAACTGCGTTATCGCGGTTATGATGACATCAAGCACTTTCGGTAAGAAAGTCGCAAAGATAGAAACTATTATTACTCACGATAGCACATGCTTGTATATCGATTATTATAAACCGTTATAATATATCGTAGCTAATTTTAGTCAGTCGCATAGAAAATTATTATACATTTAATGGTGACTTTTTAAATAAATGAAATCTATTAAAATTGCAAAACAAAAAGTTGACTTTACTTGCCTGTAGATGGCACTTGTCCGCTTCTAGCGTTTTGCTTCGATTTTGTTGTCGAAAGTTTGACTACAGGTTTCGACATGTTCTATCAGTTACAAATTAAACGCAGGAAAAATTAGTGTAAAAACGTTTGTACTCAATCAAATTTATATTTGTATTGCCGAAACCTTTTTATTTCTGATCAAAATTCCAAAGACGTCAAAATGTTTTCCTCAATTAATTTTCTATTTCTGATATCGCTGGCGGTCACCACGTGGATCATACTCTGCTATTTCAAGCAAATCGAACAGCAACGCGAAGATCCAATGACCATTGAGGTCCATATGAGTAAGTGCGCAGCCCGATTCAAATCGGATTTTAATGTTTCACTGCGCTTTCAGATAACGCATATGAAGAAACTCTGAGGGGAAAAGCCTGCTTTGGGAATTATGATATTTATTTGAACTTTCTGGCCATTTTTGCGTGTATTTATGCGCTGGCGAAGGTGGCAACTTATGCTGAAACTTACGTTGCCCAAAAGGTGCATGAGCGCTTCAAACTAGCGCAGCTGCCGAGCAATAGATCTGTGGAGCCAACCAGCATGGAAGAGTTTCGCACACAGCACATGCAACTTACCATGCAAATCGAGTACTTGGAGAAGGAGAACGCCACATTGGCACAGAAAGTGAAACAACTGGAACATACTAACTTTATATTGGGGGTGAATAAGTTCAGCAGTAGCGCCGCGACAACTAGTACCATGCGTATGCTTGCCGACGCTGGCAATATTCAAATGCCGCAGGAAAGTCATAAAACAACTTCAAATGGTATGCTGCATACTTTACGCCCTAATGGAGTTGACAATGCCCTAGGTGGCGTAGAAGTTACCTGCAATCATACTAAAGCGATCAGTGGCGATGATGACGTTGAAAAGGACAACAATAATTCCGGCTTTGCTGCCGCTGGAGGTCTTTTCTGTTTTCGGAATGTAATCATTCAAGATAATCATTTTCAGCGGACACGTCAGGTATATGTAAATGAGGGCAATGTAAAATTGCAATTTCAAGACTTTAACCAAGAAGGTGACCACATCACGCAGATCTGGCAGAAATATTTGGAAATGCAAAAGTATGCGTTACAAAAGCCGACCACGTCTCATAGTGCAACGGAAGTGGCAAATGCTGGGCCTATTGTTGTATCCACCGAAGAACTACAAACGATGCAAGGTACCGATCAGCAAAGGGGCAAGCGTCAACCACAACGCACACCACACGCCGTCCTGCCAACAACCTCCACCACCAAAAATTTTCCCAACTCTCACACAACAACGCACACATATATGCACATCCCGCAAACAACGCTGACTTTACCCATACAAATTTACTATAAAAATCTGTTAATTTGTCTATTGTGTTGGTTCTTTTGAGTTCGAATGTGCTATTATGTCTCACTTGAACCTTCCTTCTCACATCTCAATATTTGCAGGATGCATTTTGACAAATTCAAATAATATGGAATAATGAAAAACAGAATCCACTGCGGCATTTTTTATTTCTATGAAAAATCGGTTACTGCATAATGTCCTATGAAATAAATTTGAGCCACATTAATAGTTGTGTTAGAGCAATGTTCGAAAATTCAAGGTCTTAACTGAACCAAGCCAAAAAAGGTATTACCGTCATCGTCGGATGCCGTTCTGGGCTTCAACAGTTTAAATTCGTTGTCCAATAAAATTTATTTGTTATTTATGTTGTATATTTTTATAAAATGTTTCTTAAAAATTGTAAATTTGTATGTGAAAATACACATGTTTGTATATATGTACGCATATGTAAAATGTGGTTACGTGAACTTAAACCGAACTCGTAATTTATTGTATAAGTAAAATGAAAAGTGAGCAAAGATAAAAAATTGTTATTAATTTCAATTAATATCCGGTAAAACAGTTCTTTGCCCAACACAGATTCGCTTTATTTAGGTGCTGCCATTCTCCTTCAATGTACCAAATGTACTGTCAGCACTGCTGTTTTGACAGTTGCAGTCAGCTGGTGTCGTGATTTGTGTATACTATATTTAAGCGCTATAACTTTAGCTGATATCAATATATTTTCAGAACCGAACAAAGCTAAATACATTATAAGTTGCGTGAAGAGCGATCAGCGCCAGTAAAATGGGTAAAGGTTTTAACAATTACATGTGTAAGAAATTCTTTCACCCAGCTTCTAGAGACAATCTGAAACGGGTAAGACATTCGCTTAAGTGTAACACAAGCACAAAAATTTGCCATGCATATATTATATTATTATAATCTTATTTGGTTAAATATTATACTGTTATTGTTTTAGGTATGGATGGCGGAACAGCAAGCGGAGGCTTACAAGAAGAAACAGGAGGAGCTGCGTACACAATACGAGAAGGAGCAAAATTTGCATGAAAACAAAGCTATGCTAAGCAAGGATAGCAAAGACAAGCTAAGCGTGAATTTCATGTACGAGCCGCCACCAGGTGTGCGCAAAGAACGAGAAAAGGACACAACTGAACCGGAGTATAAGTTTGAGTGGCAGCGTAAGTTTAATGCGCCACGTGAATCATATTGCAAAGGTGACACAGAAATTCGCGATCAGCCATTTGGCATACAAGTTCGTAATGTACGTTGTATAAAATGTCACAAATGGGGTCACATCAATACCGATAAAGAATGTAGTATGTATAGCATTTCTATGAGTGAAGCGCGTAAACTACATTCCGAAGCTGAGGCCAGTGAGATGATGGCTAAAAATGTGTTGGAAGAGCAGATGAAAGAAGATGGACTGGTAATGAAAAAATCCGCATTAGAACTTCAGAATATCAAACAAATTCATCAACAACACAGATTGGTGCCAAGTGATGACGAGGAGAGTGAAATGAAAGAGGGTTCGCACAAAGGGAACACTGAATTAGCATTTCTAAAGTCTCTGAGCAAGGAACAAAAACTGGAGTTGTTAAAAAAGCTGGAAAAGATTGAAAAATTAAAAAAGAAAAATGAAAAGCGAAAGTTGAAAAAAGAAAAGACACATAAAAGTAAGAAGGAAAAGAAATCGAAGAAAAAGCGTGCAAAGAAGTCGAGCAGCAGCAGTGGAAATTTCACAGATGAAAGTGACGACGAAGGTCATGCCTCCTCTAAAGGAAGACACAATACAGAGAGGAAGAAATCAAAACTGGATAAGAGAAAAAGACGGCATAGTCAGTCAACTGATGAGTCTCAATCTTCCAGCAGTTCATCCAGTTCTGATTCAAAATCCGATGAAGTGTCAAAGGATTTACGGAACAGACGTCGCAGCCCATCCTGCGATTATCGTAGGAAAGACTCGAAATCATCCCTGGAAAAAAACAGAGGAAAGGATCGTCCGTACAATGATGACCGGCAGGCTAACCGAAACTTACATTCACGAAGAGAGCGTAGTCACTCAAGCGATCGCAAAGAAAGCCACAGAGAACGACGTCACTCCAGTGATCAGCGATATCGTAGTCGTTCTAAAGACAGAGATAGTCGGCGCTCAAAGAATGACCGACGAAATCGGAGCAGATCAAGGGATAGACATCATTAGCACCGTTAATAACCAAGATAATAATATAATACATATGCATTTCAAACTGAGTAATGCAAACTATTGTGAACCTAAATGTATGCATGAGAGCATAAGAGTAATAATAAACTTTCAAAAACCAGTAATTACATTCATTTTAAATTTAAGGGCGTGTTAGTTTGGGGGAATCATGTTGATCCATTTATGAACCGAAATTTCTATGCCGAAAAACAATGACAATTTCTTGCAAATATTTTGTACATGTTTTAATGAATAAAATTCTAAATTTATTAATATGTTAGTTGTGTCCAATATCTGAATCCTAGTAATAAATTCAGTTCCTGACGGCGGTGGTGGTGCTCGAACCAGCGGAGACACAAAAGTCGGTACCGTGATTTCCAGAGTCACGTGGGACATTCTTTAAAAGAATATATGTTTTATTATTTACAAAATTCGGAAACGTTAAGTAGTTACCTTGACTTGAATGTGACTCTTAAGCATTGCGGCCCGCAAAATGGACATACGCAGACGTCTTTGATATTCTCTACCCATGCTTATAGCACGCTCAAATGTGTTGTTACGCTGATCCGCCTCTTTGGCGCATAGTATTTTGTTTTGAGAATCGATACGCGCTTGAATTTGACCATCTAGTATCAATTGCATAACTTCATTCTCCAAAGCGGGCACACTGCGATTGAACGCAGTTGCCATTTTTCGCATATCAGCAGATAGGTAAGGACTAAAGTATTGAATAAGCGCACGATTCCGTATTTTTGTATAGAGCGTGTTTACGTGCGGAGCTATGTACATGTCTAGCAACAAATTGTCGCGAATCTCATCGAGTAACTTTAGGCAGGATGCGTATTTGGATTCGTAGAATTTGAATATTATGTCGCGTAGCTGGGGTTCCAATTCCAAAAACAGCTTAAACGAACTTGAAGATATTACATTTTTCTGCAATTCTTGACGATCGAAAGTGGCCAGTGCACAAAGTCCACCATACATAGCAACATTGTTTTGTGATAGCATCTCTGGGAACTCACAGTGATCGAAGCTGGCTTGCAAAAATTTTTTTGCCGCTGATTTATATTTTTTTGTTTGTAGCTCAGCGAGACCTGCTGCGCATTTGAGACGTGTGGCAACGGACTGCAAAGCACACTTATTTAATAATATATACGTATGTATGAAACACATTATTTATTTACCAAATTGGCTTCTTTAGGACCCTCCATAAAATCGGGAGTGCTCTCTGCTTTATTTACATAACTAAGCACATGAGCCCAGTTTTGTAAGTACAACGACACCTTGATAACATTCAGACACATATTGATAACATGTTTTCCGCTAGTGCAATAGTCGCGTGCGCGTGAATAACATTTCAAAGCGTTGGTCAGATCACCACAGCTTAAGTAGTGATCGCCCAAGTCGTCATGACCACGTCGTATACTTTCTTTGATCGAATTTGATTTATAATTCTTTAAATCCGAGTCTAATTTCTCCAAATTGAATGCAGCTTGTTTGCTTTTCGTTTCGACCCAATTGCTGTCGAAAGCTGGCAAGTCTAGTGCATCTGTACCAGCACCACCACCAGCTGACGTACCAGATTGGGCAGCTACATCGGGTAGGCCGACAGCACCAGCCTGTCCCGAACCACTAGCTGCACCAGCATTTAACTCTAAGAGCTTTTTGTGCAGCGATTGATACATGCTAACATTATAAGTAGTCATTACATGCTTTATAGCCATTTTCAGGGCCTCCAAACGTAGTGTTGGGCATACATCGGCGACAAATTTTAAACGATATAAAGTCGCTAAGCCCGTGTAAGAGTTAGCATATACCTCAAGATCAAGTGATGGGTTCTCAACAATAAGCTGGTGCTCTTCATTGTTATCATTGTCCTCTATGGGCGCGTCCACTTGCATCGGTTCAATAGCATTCTTTTGTTGGCGAGCGATAACAACGGACAAAGGGTGGTGTACAACAAAGAAACAATGACGTCCAGTTAATCGACTATTCGCCTAATATATTGTACGCAACTCACCTGTATTAATGGTCCCTGTCCTAATGGTCCCGGCAGCAGCGACATATTCTTTTGGTATAAATTAGTTAATTACTTATTTACGCCTCTATAAACAATGGAAATTGTAATCTGAGAAATTTAACTCCTTCAATACCTGAATTTCACCAATCGCTTGCACACAGCCGGTTTTGACAATAATTTTGCTTGCTTAGTTTTAAAACAGTTTGCCAGATCTAACAAAATGTAATATTGCCAAGAACCTAACCAATTTTTTGTCAAAAAAACAACAATACTCAAGAGAACTATACATGAGATATTACACTGCAATGCATTTTAAATTTGTATTTACCCCTTAACTAGTTTAAACAACTATATTATATATGTTTTTTTGGTCCTTGTTATAACAAATTTTCAACAGTAGTAGGAAATTATTTTGTTAGAAACGTTATTGTGACTGGTTACTTTTAAAATGAAGTTTAACATTTACCACATGTTCATGAAATAAACATCAGCCGGCAATTTATTATAAATAGGTTTTCATAAATTTAATCGCTTGAGATTGAAAATAAATATAAATACCATGAGCGCAGTGACTATCGAAACTTGCGAACAAATTCCGGGCGTGCAAAATGAAACTGAGAAAGAGCGTACGGATGAAAAAGTTGTAGAGGAAGCGATTCTTGACGAAACTCCGAAGGATGAGAAGTCAACTAATGTAACAAATGACGAGTTTAATTACTTAAAACGAAATGAATTTACCTCCGAGATTTACAAGATTGAAGTTCGGAATTTGGGCTATTTCGGTATTGGGGTAAGACACTAAATTTTTTTGAAAAGTAGCAGTAATATGTGTAACATTTTTGGTCGTACTTAGGAATTTAAGAAGCTTTTAAAGTCCAAGCTAAATCTCAACATGACTAAAATTAAATCCCCACTTCGTAAAGAGTTCGCATTCGTATGTTTTCGTAGTGAAGAAGATCAACAACGAGCAATTGAGACGCTGAATGGGTATAAATGGAAAGGAAAAGTGTTGCAAGCTGGTGTAAGTTTAAACTTATAATAAGATTAAGTCAATTTAAACACGAAAATCTGTATGACTTTTTTCAATAGGCGGCAAAAGCGTCTGCAGATCCATTACAGAAACGTCGTAATGAAAACGCGCAGCGTGAGGAGAAAGAACGTCAGCCAAAACGACAACGTACTTCTGCCGATGCGATATGTCCCTACGCTGCCTTTTCCTATGACGAACAGTTACAAAAAAAAAGTAGTGAAATGGAGGAACTTTTAAAAAAATTCATAAATAAATTACGTAACACTAACCAGGCAGCCAAGAAGCAATTGAACGAATTCAAATTTACTGGTGTTAAAGCGTCTCCACAGATTAATGGTTACCGTAACAAAAACGAGTTCACTGTTGGCAAAAATGCCTTGGGCGAAGTTGTGGTTGGCTTTCGTTTGGGCAGCTATGCTGATGGGTCCGTTGAGGTTTCAGAAATTCAAGACTTACCACATATACCCGACTCGGCTAAATGGGCAGCAGAGAGTTTTCAACATTTTGTTCGAGATTCAAACTTTCTGCCATTTAATCCAGAGGATAATTCTGGCCATATTCGACAGTTGATGGTACGCACATCTGCCCATACGGGAGAGATAATGTTGGTTGCCGGTGTTTATTCTTCGAATTTGAAGGATACCGAAGTAGCAGCTTTGAAGAAGAATTTGAAAGAATACTATGAAACATGTGCCGACGACGTAAGAGGTTTCAAATGTACATCTTTGTATTATCAAGATGTGAAACATCGTGAAGTCGGTCAAGTGGTCTCGCCTATAGAACATATTTCTGGCAGCACACACAATACTGATACAATTCACAATCTAGTTTTTAAGATAAGCCCACTGGCTTTCTTTCAAATAAATACGCAGGGTGCCGAAGTTCTCTATGATAAAGCTATCGAGTTGGCCTCACCTAAACCACATTCCACGGTATTAGATATTTGCTGTGGCACTGGCACGATAGCTTTGGCATTCGCCAAACATTGCAAACAAGTACTTGGTGTAGAAATTATACCAGATGCAATTAAGGATGCTGAATTCAACGCTGCGGCCAATTCAATTGAAAATTGTAAGTTTTTTGCTGGTAACGCAAATGACTACATACAATCGATGGTGCGTGAAGTTGTTTACGGTAACGCACCTGGAGCGCCGCTGGACCTGATCGCTGTGGTGGATCCACCGAGAGCTGGGCTACGTAAGTATTTATATAACGGCATTCAAGTTGATAAATCACAATCTCGCATTCTTATTTTAGATAATAGATCGATAGCAGCCATACGCGCCGCAACAGCAATAAAGCGCCTGGTGTACATATCTTGTAATCCAGCGCATGCCCAACGAAATTGGATTGAATTGGGTCGACCAGAGTCAAAACAATATAAGGGGGATCCCTTCTTTCCAAAAACCGCCATTGCAGTAGATATGTTTCCACATACTACACACACTGAACTGGTAATCCTATTTGAACGTGCGACGCAAACAAATGATGGAGAGGAAAACAAAGAGGCAAGCAGCACCGAAAATATCGTTGGTACACAAGTTGAAGGAAAAGGAATTGAAGTAGATATAGAACCAAATAAAAGTTAATATTGGTTGCATTTCTGAATCTACATAAATTTTTATATATGTACATACCAACATTTTGTGTATATATGTATAACACACTTTAATAGTTTAACCATTTGTATCAAAAATAAAATTACGCAATATTGTAATATATGTTTAAAATTTTTCTTTCCGACATAAAATTTTTGGTTTTAAATTATTTGAAGAGAATTGCACTGATTCCGTTTAACGTATACGTTATTTAAACTCTGTAGTTCACAATAGTGTGCTTGTCAGCCTTTTCTGTCAGTTGAACATTTTGAAATTGTTGCTCACTGATGCAGACTCTGTCGAGTAAATGTTTATATTATTTTTGTATAAAATAAATATCTGCAGTTTTTTATTTGGCTAATTACTCCTCCATTCTTCCACATGTCAGGCATCATATACAAAATAAAATAAAAATTTCGAGAAAAACGTAAAAATTTTCAGTATAACAAAATTGAAACAAGATTAATTTCACCCAAACTTAAAATTGGCCGTGCAATATTACAAAACAAACAAAACAAAAACTATAAATCTCTACAACACCATTGTTATAAACGTGAACTTATTTTTTGCGTTAGTAAGAAGCAGTGCTATCAGCTGTCCACAATTTGTTGTATTTACTAGAGGGATATTTAATAATGGTATGCTATCTAAAGAATTGAACAAAATAATTTAAATACTAGTGCAGTTAAAAGTGGTATGAAATTGGATGACTTTCATTGAATTTATTAAAAAATTAAACCGACAAAAAAAGGAAAATGTATGACGAGGCTGGTCTTCATCGCTTTGGCACGACTTTGCCAGAACTAGACGAAGGTATGTAAATCCTAAGACAACTCATATTTTTGTTTTTAAACGTTTTACTTCATTTCAGATTCCGTACCCTCAAAGAAACCAATTCGTTTGGAAGATCAAATTGTGACAGACGAGAATGGCAAACGTCGTTTCCATGGGGCTTTTACCGGTGGGTTTAGCGCTGGCTACTGGAATACTGTGGGCTCACAAGAAGGTTGGACGCCGGCGACATTTAAAAGCTCTCGCAGCGAAAAAGCGGCACAACGTCTGCAACAACGCCCGGATGATTTTATGGACGATGAAGATCGTGGTGAATTTGGTATTGCGCCCCAACGTCTACAAACACGAGCTGAATATTCGTCGTTTGAGCCAGAGTTAAGTCGTAAGCGTAAGTTGATGGCAACACATAGTGGACCAATCCCAGGAAAACCTGTACTAGAACAACTGATTGTTCCAAATAATATCAAAATTGGTGAGCGCATTTTAAAAAGCATGGGTTGGCGTCCAGGGCAAGGTATTGGACCTAGACAAACCCGTAAAGAAAAGAAATCAGCACGTAGTAGAAATCAACGAGAAATGTACGTTATGCAGCAATATGGATATCAGCCAAATGCAACCACAGCAAAGTCTCCAGAGCATTCCGATGATGCTGGTGGCGAGACGGAAAGTTCAGATGAAGAAACTGATAAAATTACATTTGCACCAGATGATTACGAACCATATGTGTGTACAGCAAAAAAAGATCGCTTTGGCTTGGGATATCGTGGCAGCTTGAGTCGGGATCCTGTACTTTCCAACATTCAAGGAGCAGTATCAAGCAATAAACACATAAATTTGTTTGAACCTGCTTTAGAAGCAGTAGGTAAAAATAATAAGAAAATATCATTTAAAGGGCAAGCATTTGGCGTAGGTGCATTAGAAGACGAAGATGAGGATATATATGCGAGAGATGATATGTCTCGTTACGATTTCTCATTAGAGGACCGTAAGCAGCAAAAAAAGAAAGTCATAATTGAACAGGATCAACTTGTGGTAGATGGATTTTCGGCATCTAAGAATCAGATACGTTTAAAAAAACCCGAAAATATATTAGTTCCAGCTAATTTTACGCCACGTAATTGGTCCGAACGAAAAAGTCGTTTCCAGCCCATAGATGCAAAAAGGGCTGAAGAGCTGGAATCATATTTCAAAAAAGTTGAACATGCAAAAAATAGATTAAATCCTGATGAACGCGCTGAATTACTGAGTGAGGAGCGACAAATCGACGAAAAGCCAACTACTAGTATACACGCGCGAGAAGAGCAAACACACAACAAAAGTCAAAGCAAGACTAATACTGACTCACAACCTGCTCTTCCAGAAACAAAGTCTACCCGTGTTGCAGGTGGTTACGACAAAATGACTGACAAAGCAAGGTCCATTTGGGGGTCTTTGGAACAGAACGATCGCTTTACACGCGCTAGTGACATTGAAAGAGAGATTTCGTCCGTGAATAGCAGTGAATTTGCTGGAATGGTTAAAGAAGCGTACAACAAATCAAAAGTCGACTCCTTAACAAACATGTTTAAGCCTTTCATGCATGATGAACAAAAACAGCGGCGTTATGAGGAATTTCTTTTGGCTGAAGTGAAAACCGAGGAGGAGATTACGTGTTTCTTGAACAAAATACAGCCGGTGAATTTGAACGATTGGGATCGAGAAATGGAAAAGAAGGAGTTTATACAGGCTAGCAAAATATTTAGACCCCTAGATGGGCTAATGTCACAACGGTTAGTATGCCTTAAATAATAATATAGTTGTTACTTAAGCAATATGTGTATAATACTTTTAATTTATTTAATTTTTAATTATAGTTTTGTCACGGAGTCTGGTATTGCAGTAGAGCAAAAGTCAACCAAAGTATCTGAAAACATTGTTAGTAGCCCGAAAAAAATAAATATCGAGCGTTCAAAATCAATGTGGAAACCTCACTCTTTACTATGCAAAAGATATAATATTGCTGAACCTTACGGTGGACACATGGAGGAAGATAAGCGACCTGCCTCTTCTTCGAAAATGTCCGTTTTCGATTATCTGGAAGATTGCTTGCATAAAAAGTCGGATTTTAAGACGCCAGTCATTGTGCCAATGAAAATACCCGATATAAAACCAATACTAAAGCACACAAAGTGCGGAACGGCAAAGGAACAAACAAATAACACAAAATCTGCAACTTCGGTTTCGACTTGCACGGTTTCAACTATGACCTCGTGCAGTCCAAGTTCCTCGTTTTCCGACACGTCTATAGTTGTTGTAGATCAATTGAAAAGTGAACATGCGAGTTCAAAACGTTCTAAAGATGACGGCACGAAAGTTGGTCGCCCTACAGCCAAGACCGATTTGGAAAAACTTTCTGCAGAATCAATTTCGAAACCATCCTATGAGAAGTTGGAGCTTTACAAAGCAATTTTTGACGATAGTAGTGACGAAGAAGGTGTTGAACAATACGAAGTAACTGTAATCAGCAGAGAAGGTGAAAATACAGATAGTTGCGCGCTAAAGAGAGCTGAACAAGTAAATTTACTGCGAAATACATCGCCGCCACGTGGCATCTTTAGCGCCTTGCTGTCTAAGAAAGCACGCGAAAAAACACCGGAAAAGACTGATTGCAACTCTATAGAATCAATTGACTTGGAGGAGAAATCGTCGCCTTCCGTTATGGTTTCGGGAATGGCTCTGATACCAGCCTCTGCGAAACCGGTTAATAGCAACAAAATTGAATTTAAACGGCCTACAAGCATATCTTCCAAGACGTCAGTGAATTCAGCCTCAACGGCGTCTACAAAGTTATCATTAAATGACGCATCAACAATGCATCAGTCTTCAAAAGGCGAAAACAATTGCACATTAATGTCAACGGAAATAAAGTCGAGAAGCGAACGTCTACAGGGTTCGGGCAACGCTTCCGTAACTACAGCTGTAACTTTCGATCTGCCAAGCACTTCATCGGATGTGGTGACAGATGCTTATGGCCCACAGTTGCCACACCACGTGCGAACTCAAGCGACTAACAACGCTGTGAACCAAATGAACAAGGTGGTTGAAGAAAAGATGATTCGGTTTCTAGTGCAGCGTGCCAAAAATTCCAGACAACTTGATAACGAAGGCTGGGTGGAGAAGAAAGTACGCAAGATTTTGAAAACCTCAACACGAAGTTCAAGCAGCAGCAGTAGCAGCGATGAGAAGGATTCTAGCTATAAAAGCGAACGCAATGCGCACAAAAAGAAGAGTAAAAAGAGCAAAAGTCATAAGAAATCAAAGAAAAAATCGAAAGAGAAACGACCGAAGAAATCTAAGAAAAAGAAGGATAAATAATAAGGTTATAATTTATATGTATTGCTAGTTGTATATATTTACGTATAATATATAAAAACTGAAAACTGTAAATTCGCTGTTTAACATAAACTAAGCTATTGAAATTATAACACGAAGCGTCTTTCAATAAATTTTTTTTTGCATTTAATATCCACAAAAATATGTATCATGGCGCCCAAACTCGAATAATCCAAAAAATATTTCTAAAAAAAAATTCTGTCTGAAAACAAAACAAAAGAACACAAGATCGTCTTTATGTAGCTAAACAGGCGAATCTTGAATTAATGCAGTGAGAGCTGAAGTTGCAACCGACATTTGAAGTCCACTTGGAATTATTAAAGAAAGACCTCGAATCGGTCACAGTCACGTAAAACCAGTCAAAAATATGGCCTTGCTAGGTTCGGTGTCTATATACAGCTTGACGCATTTAGAAAATCTGTTTTTAAGCTGAAATAAAGCAATAAGTAGTAAACCCATACTCGACACGACAAACCAAAACCAACGACATAAACAAGTATTTGACTACACTGACCAAGTACAGGTGCGCCCTCTTTTCTATTTCAACACAATTTTTTTGCAGAAATAGGCTAGTTTCGTTTGTCTTTTTCCCACAGATCCGGGCACATAATGACCCTTTATACAGCGCTATCAATTTCCACTGACTGTTGTTGTTGTTGTAGCGGCAGAATTCTACCGAGTTGACTTGGCCTGATAAAAATCCGTATCCGTTCCGGTTACGTAGACCACACTGTTGTGGGAACGGATTTCCACTGACTCGTCTTGGTCGCTGACCAACATACTGAAAATGTACGACTATTCCCTGAAAAAACCGTTAAAAGTTGAAACGAATATCCTAGCAAAAGTAAAAGAACCAACGAATTCTTCAAAAGTGAAGCAAGTCATTCGTCTCTTATAACTCAGCGCTTCAGTAACTAGCGTTTAAAATCTATAAACGCAATTTGTCTCCGTGGCTACATCTTTGCATACTTAGCCAAATACACATACCTAAATACTTACCAGAAAATGAACACAGAAGCATACGATCACTTGACGCGACGCGACTTAATTTGCGCATCTCTTCAGTTAACCAACTCTCTGCGGCTCTCTTGCAAGCAATCACCTTTGCAGACCAATTGGACCCAGTTAGCTAGCCAGCTTAGTTGGTTGGCCAGCTTGAGCGCCGAATTCAGTTGTGTTTTACGGGTATCCACGAGCGGTTCTGTTTTCAGACGAACTGGCGCATGTTGGACGGCAGCGAAACGACGGCGACGAGACGTTGAAAAGGTGGCGAAGACGACTAAACGCGCAGTGCGACGGCGCAGTGTACCGTGGCGCTACGAATCGTGTGCAAAGTAAAGTAACAAACGAAATAGTAATAATATTTTTGTGTGTACAAAAAGAGCGACGTAGGGAGCAGCATACCATTTGCAGTCAAAGAATTGTTGGCCAAAAACGAATCTTTGAATTTGCGGTGCAGAAAAAGAAAAAATCACCAAAGAATATCAGTTTGTGCGAAAAGGTAACGAGTGAGTCGCCAAGTGTCGACTAGCTAGCTATTAGCTAATGAAATTTTTTATGAATGCATGCCATACGGTTGGGGCTTGTTGCAAAAATGCTTACGTTAAAAGTGAAAATGTATACAGTGCACAGTTGAAAAGCAACAAAAAAAAAAATCAAAAAAAGTGCATACACGGTGCTGAGCGTGTAGGCAAATGGAGAAAATCGTGCGATCGTGCGATAAAACCAGTTGGCAGTTGACGGCGGCGCAGCGGACGCAAACGCAAAGGCAGACTCTGTGCCGAAACGCCAGTTTCAGGTCTCGCACTCAAATTGCTTTGTTGTAGTTTACGATTGTATGATCTTTTGTTTTTTTGTTTTGAGATACAAAATATGTGGTTGTTTTATGGTTGATTGTGTGATTTAAAATAGGAGTTTTAGTATAAACACACACATATGTATATACAAATGTAGCTGATTTTGTTTAAAAGTTGCAACGTCGAAAGCGAACTCAAAAAGTCTCGCTTAGAACAAAATTAAAATTGTAAAAGGCTCAAATTTGCAAACAGCCAATTGGCCAGCGGAAAAAAGCCAAATGTGTGTGGCGAGAGGTGTGAAGTTCGATAAAAACGCACGACAGGCACGCCATATGCGGAAACTGCCAACAGCAGTGACGTCGTCTTGCCAACTTGGCGCTGCGAATATGAAGTGCAAAGAATTCAAACTGCCTTGTTATTGTTGTTTCAGTTATTTTTTGTTTGTTTGTTGTTGCTGCTGCTGCTGTCTTGCAATTGAACAGCTGCTGACTGCCGGCGCAACTGCCGCGATACTCCAATTGGCTCTCCGCCCCCGCACGAGAGGGTTGCACCAAAGGGCCGCCACAGTGTCGTGAGATTCTTGTATAATCAAGAGGAAAAACACGGGAAATCACAACAATATTGGTGCAGTGAAATGCCAGAAACAACAAGCTTTCGCCAAGCACGCTTAACTGGCGTTTCATACCAAATAAAATCGACAGAAAATTAGTGGTGCATAACAATTGTGTACTAATTCTAGGCAACATGAGAACTCTCATGACAAATCAAAGAGGAAAATTTCATTTAAATGCAAAAGAGTGTACGTGTGTGAAACTTTTGAGTTGTGGCCAAGTTAGAACAATAAAAGCGTAAGAATTATATATCCAACAGATTTTTAAAAGGCAGCATAAATAAATCAAAAACATAAATGGCAATAAAAAAGACGATCGTAAGCGATAAGCGGCAAATAACGCAAGAAGAGCAGCAAACTTCTTACTTACGAAAGACTCTGCTATAATAAATAATCAGTAGACATTTACTTAATACATATAATAACAATAATGCTTCACTTAACACGCTAACAACAACAACAAACAGCAAAAAATGAATATGCACACTCAGCAGTAGCTTTGTTTAAGAGTAAAAACAAAAATTTTAATTTTTGCTTCGCGTCGCTAAAGTTCTAGTGAGATCATGCTTGTGCTGCTTCTATGTAGCGTTCCACTTACTCTTTTTAGCAAATACAGTAAAAATTACAAAACTTTACAAAAATAAAACTAGTTATTGACTAAGCAGAAATATGACACGCTATAAACAAGTCAAACTTAAAAGGCTAGTGCTAGCGACTTGCTTAACGTGGCTAAATATTTTCAATTACAAATGCCAAAAACTCAAAGCTCATATAATTTTTTTAGTGACAACAGCAGTGTCATTTTTTGCACGCTAGGTCTTTCGTTAATCAATACTTTCTCGATTTTCTTGTAGTCGCAACGAGAATACATATTGAAATATACATACAGGTTGGTTGAAAAGTTGGTTGGTCTCACCAAGAAATAGCACCACTAGCTTTAAATTTTTTTTCTCAAATTAGTGTTGTACATCTGTCGTGAGAACACATGCAAAGTTACAAGTTATTCTGTCAATCAATTCTTTGTTTACAAGCCATTTGAAGTTGACGTGTCAGCGTATTTTTTCAATATGGAAAAATTGAATATCGCGCAGTGAGTAGATGCTTTGTTTTGAGAGGTTTAAATGCAAAGGAAATTTATAAACAATTGTTAGAAGTGTATAAGGAGTCCTCACCTTCAAAACGCACCGTTGAATTTTGGGCTGGTGAATTTAAACCTGATCGTACTAGGCTTGAAGATGATCCACGCAAAGGACGACCAAAAACCGCAACCACACCAGAAATCATTGAGCAAGTTCATAATATTGTTAGTGAAGAACCAAGTTTGATTAAGCGTAAAATTGCTAATGCCAAAGGCATCTCAGACGAAGGAGTACTTCATATTCTACATAGAGTATTTTTCATAAAAAGCTGTTTGAAAAGTTATTGCCGCACACGTTAACAATTCAGAAAAAAAAAACTGCATCGATAACAACTTTCTCAGCATAATTTGAAGCGTTTTAAGCAGAATAAAACCGATTTCTTGCGTCGGTTTATAACTATGGATGGGACTTGGATCTAGCAACATGATCCTAAATTGAAGCAAGAACGTTTACTGGTTGTTAAGCTCCAAAGCAGGCGAAGTTACAACGATCAGCAAGAAGGTTATGGCATCAGTTTTTTGGGATGCCAAAGGTTGATTGTTGATTGATTATCTGCAGAAAGGTAAAACAATCATCCCTGAATATTATTGCAGCCTTTTGGAGCAGCTGAAGGAAAAAATTCGTGAGAAAAGACCTGGTTTTTAGCACAAAAAAATAATTTTTCATCAAGACAATGGAACTGCTCACAAAGGTGTTTTAACAATGACAAAATTCAACGAATTATAGTACGAATTGCTTTGGTTTGGTTTAGTTTTGGCTCCCAGCGACTACTACCTCTTCCGAAAACTGAAACCCTTCCTTTGTGGAAAGCGTTTTTCGATGAATGAAGTAGCTTTTACAGCCCTAGATGGGTATTTTGCAGAGCTTCCGGAAAGTCATTTTAGGGTTGGCATAAAATTATTGGAGAATCTTTGGAATAAGTGTATTGAAGTTAAGAGAGCTTATTTTGATTAAACAATATATTTCTTACCAAAAACAGTATTTTTTCATTTTAAGCGCAGAAACTTTCCAACCAACCTGCATGTATGTACTCGTATTTAAGAAATCAGGGTCTGACTTAACAGGTGTCAGCCAAGCTTTGAAAACTAATCAGATCACAATTCCATTACAAAATTTTTTGTTTACTGTTCTCGTCTTCTTCTTTTAAAACAAAGCGCGCTTAGAAGGAAATCTCAACCTACATATGTATGTATATTGCTCGTTTTCACCAGGATCAGTTTTGATCAAGCCTCATTGCATTGTTGTTAAAACTGTTGTAGCGCTCATTTTATACAAATAAAGTGGTATTGATCTAAAACGATATATATTTTCACAAAAAATTGCAACAAAAAATTAGAAAACACAGTGTCCACAACTCGTTTAACAAAACATTTTTTTATTATTAAATTGTTATTAGTATAAAGGAAGTTTGAACTATTTTGCCTCGGCTGTTTTCTCAGCTGTTGGGTGTAATTTCAAGTTGTTGGCCAAACAGTTCCCTTAAAAAATAAAAAAATAAAAAGATTGTAAAGCAAACACACCTCGGACGATGGAGTTCAACATACTTAGGCGCTCTTTCTCACGCTCCTGCTCTCCTAACGGATGCTATGCACGCTCCGCTCTAAACTTAAGAGCATGCATTTGTATGTGACTGTGTGTTTGCAAGCTGTTCGTCAATGAACCGTGCTGCCGGAACTCTCCGTTGCACTCGCGTTGGCGCTGTTGAAACATAATATCGTAAAATTAATGGCATAACGTTATGTTTACGACGATCTAAGCAATATACACAATGGATATTCATGTAACATACCAACACGTACACATGCAGACGCACACAATATACTAGCATATATTATATATATGTACATATATGTATGTACATATATTGCAAGTGTAGAGGGTCGATCTGCTCAGTGCATGCCAAATGTTTGCTGGCGCACTTTTTAGTTCAACCGCTTGTCCGGCTGTTTAATTTACTTCACTTTCATATTAAATTTTCACAAACAATTTCTGTATATTTGCCATGCCTTTCGCTTGCGCTCCGTGCAGCGCCGCGCTTTCTCACAAGCCTCATAATTCACTTCGCGCGCTGTTCAAATCTTTTCATACACATTTTTATTTACTTTTTCGTGCGCTGTCCGTTGCCATAGAAAAATTAACAAACTCAACAGGTAGTTGACGCGAAACGCTCATGAACTCGTACACACATATGTACATACATATAAACATATGGATTTGAGTTGAGTGACGAATGCGAGTGTAGTGTATGCTCTGCCGTGTCTCTCGTGCCTTCTGCGGCTTTGAACCAGCGCTTCACCTGCTGTTTGCGCACAAATATTTGATTTGGTTTCAGCATTTTGCGCCAGCCTATGATAGCTATTTTTATCTATTTTCACACGAAATATACCGAAAATGGTTATTGACGACTTTTCTTCGCTTGTCTTCTGCTCAGCGCAGGTGCTTGACAGCAATTCATCAACCAGCAGCGCAACCTTTGTCAATGACTATTTCAAAGTCGCACAGCTTTCAGTGTCTTTTGGCATTGTCACCAATGCTGGTAGCCGCCGCAAGTGTGTTAAAGCCGCAACGCTGTTTAACTGTTGGCGAATTCCATTGATTGTCGTGCCATTTGCGATTTGTTAAGGCCGCGCCGTGCTTACGGATTTCATTGCTTTAATTTATGTGTGTGTTGTTGCAAATTGGAAAAGTAGAAAAATTAACTGTGCTCTTACAAGTTATTGCGTTTTAAGGCATTAATATATATATATATATATATATATGTATAGGTATATGTATATGCTATAACGGTATAGTTAATTATATGTTTGTACGTCGAAGTAATAGTATTCTCAAAATATCTGAGAGTCTTCTAAAACTCTGCTGCAAGCTCTTAAACGCAAAAATTTCCCAGAAATCAAACTTTCTCTTATGTTATTGTAATTACAAGTAATTTTTATGCATAAACAAATTATTGAAAGTTTTCGATTTGTGGCCCTAAATCTAATTTTTATGCTTGTACAACTTCGGTAACAAATATTGTTCGTGTTGTTACAGTTGGGCAGCACAAAAAAAACTGGTACATGCACATAACGCAATTTATTAGGGTGTTGCCAAATGTAATACGTAAATACAAATTACAGTTTTTTTTTTAGATTCTGTAAAAGTTATTTAAATTGTAAAATATAACTACTTGAGCAATATTTTACAACATTTCCGTTATATGAGCATAAGCTCTTTGCACTAGCATTTTTAGTATAACAAACCATTTATGCCTCAAATGACTGCTTCCAATTGAAATTTTATGGCAAAACAAGTAAGGCAGTTCTAAGTTCGGGTGTAACCAAACATTTTATACTCTCGCAAGGTAAAGTACGGGATTTTCATATATATATATTTTACTTAAAAGTAGGCAGCATTGCATGCCTTATTTAGAATCACAGGCAAGAAGATACAATAGTATTAGAAATAGATTCTTTCGGAATTTCATTAATATTTTAAACATATTGACTGCTAAATGCGGTATAAAGCCAACCGCAAATTCGAAAATATTTATATTAAACATTTGGGCTAAGAGAAGTATTGACAGGATTTTACCCAATTTTGGCACAAATGCATGCTGTTATTACAAATATATTTTCCACAAATTTCAATACTAAAACTTATAGACTAACCGATAGGTTCGATAAAAAACAGCCATTAACTATAGACTAACCGAGTAAGTTCGGTAAAAAATCAGCCATATGCACGGTTGTCCGCATATTTGGTGTCTGGGTCCTTGAAAAGTTATAGTCCAATTTCGACAAGTTTTGGGCGTTAGATTAAAAACTTTGAGGATACTATTTATGCACAGTTTTACACTAATAAGTTTTTGTTTGATTTGTATACTATTAAGTAATTTAAAATTTTGTTATATGTGGAGTAGGCGTGGTTGTCAACCGATTGCATTTTATACTGCAATCATTATAATGACTGAATAACCTCACTCACCAAATTTGGTTGATAATTATCGAATAGTACCTGAGTTGTAAGATTTCACCTAAAAGTAGGCGGTGCCACGCCTATTGTCCAATTTTTATACCGCCTCCCATTAAGTTTTCTCCTGCCATCTTGGTTGTGAAATTTCATATTTTTGGCACTTTTGTTAGCGCACTTTTAGTAATTTTCAACATAACCGTTATATGGCGTGATTATTATTTGATTTTCTTCATTTTCATAGTGTATAAAGAAATGATAAAAATACTACTTCTCAGCAAGTTTGGTTGAGATAGCTTTAGTGTTTTGGAAGATATGTACATTTAAGTATTTAGAGGGCAGGGCCACACCCACTTTTTAAGAATGTTTACCCCACAAGTGCACCTTACCACTACAATCCCTTGCACCAAATTACAGTGTTGTATCTTTATTTAGTGCTTAATTATGACACTTTATAGGTTTTCGTTTAATGGCTTTTTGTGGGCGTGGCAGTAGTCCGATTACGCCCATCTGTTTTACCAACCCTCTTGAGTGCCAAGAAATACGTGTACCAAGTTTCATCAAGATATCGCAATTTTTACTCAAGTTATCGCTTGCATGTATAGATGGACGGACAGACAGTTACTCAGATTTTAACTCCTCTCGTCGCCCTGTTCATTATAGTTTTCACTAGAAAATCGCATAGCACAAACTGCTGTGTAGATTTCAGATCTTTTACAGTTTTGCACTTTTCCTAACCACCCTAATGTGCGCTTCGAGTTTAGAGAGTAACTTATAAAATCGAAACAAACATAAATATTGGTTTTACAACTACCGTTAGACAGTAAGCGCTTTTTTAATAATTTTTAATTTTAGTCATTACTAGAGAGTTTGTACAAGAAAATAAGAGAAATACGAGCATTAGGCCAATAAGCATGAAAAAGAGATTGCCGTGCAGAAAAAGCAGTCGAGTCGATTATGCAGCGAACGCCAGCGAGATGGTCGTGTAGCGAGGCCAATATAAATATTTATATACCAATATATATATATGTATGTATATATGTTATGTGAGTATATTAAATAAAGGTATGTTATGTGAGTATATTAAAAGTTGCACGCGCAGCAATGTTTGCTGACTGCTGCGATACGTCAAGCGATCAATGTGCGAAGAATGCGGAAAGCGTTCGCTGTGGAATTTCAGCTTTGACCATTTCGGCTATTGGCCACTTTTCGATGTTAAATGGCAGCGAGTCTGCAGTAGAGTCGCTTGGTGGTTGTTTTCTGCAAATATTTGCAAACGGTTTAATTTTATAATAAGTAAATTTTGCTTAAATGGTGTAATGTTATTAATTTTGTGACAAAATCGCACTTTCAGATGCTGAAGTTGTTCGAAAAACCTTAAAAAAGTAAAAAAGAATTGTGTTTTACAAAAATTGTGTGTCCCTTAAATACGTAAATGGGAGTATTCGCTGTGTAAAGTGTGAGCTCGTGAAATTACTAATGGTAAAAGTCGCTTGAATCGTGTTGTGTTTACAGCGACGGAAAGTGGCGCATGCGCGCATACAAATTGCCAATTCCGCCAGCAACGCTGTAATCAAAAAGTTTGTCGCATATCTGATTGTGCGTACATTCCATACTAATCGCACATACAAACATATTGCGCCAAGCAACAACAGGCAATGCGGCAGCCAGCCATTTTAACATTTCAACAACGTTCACAGCAATAAGCATGCGCGCCGGCTAATGGTGATTGTGTAAAAGTGTTGAAGAAAATAAAACGAGCACAAATAGCAAATCGAATGCGAAATTTCGTGAAAACTGCGTGAATGCAAATAACAAAAACAAAAGCAAATATAAGAAATAATAAAACAAAAAATAAAAAAATTAAAAAAAAAAGTTAAAAATTAAAAAAAAAATAAAAATTAAAAAGGAAATAAGTGCAAATGTATTTGCTAAGCGCGAGTGAACGCACGGCCATAGCAGCGAGCGTTGTGCACGTGATTATGTTAGTTTATTCAACAATAACAACAAAAGCAACAGCAAAGTGTGTAGTGTTCCAAATTTGTTGCTGAAACCACAAGCGCGTAGAAAGTCCATTACATAGTAAATGTTAGCAACAACAGCAACAACTGCAACTCAGCTCACGCCAGTCGTACTAAATACCTAAACATAGACATATACATATACAAATACACAGATTTTAATTGCATTCGTGTTACTTGTGGTCAACGGTAGCTGCAGTTTTTCAAAATGTGGCAAGTTGTTTCGGAAACTAAAATTTCTGCTGTTGCATTTGCGCACCAACCCAACAACAACAACAACAACAAGAAAAATATTGCGTCTACTTGGCCACAATTGGCACAGAAATAATGAGTCAAAATGTTGCCGATAGTTTGGTGAGTAAAAAATGCAAAAAACAAAAATATTTAAAATAGAATATATGTAGATTAATTTAGTATAGAAAATAGACAGATATTGCGCTGTCTGCTTATTATTTGTTTCGTTCGATGTCACATGGTCTAACTCAGAAGCAGTATTACTTACAAGACGACAACGAAAAATGGCTTGATTCTTGGATAGTATTATAAGATGTATAGTTTCACGGTAGTGATATTCGCGCTTTCCCAGAAAGCTGTGAAAAAGTTGTGACTAGCGATGAGCAATGCTGCGTATAATTCATTTGTAACCATTTTCTTACAATAAAATTGTATTTTCATAAAAAAAAACAACAGCGACAACTTAGTTGCGCACCTAATACATACATATATGCATAAAAATACTGCACTAAAAGTAAATGCTAAAAATATCATGTGTATGTGCGTATAGTAAGAATTTAATGCCATTAAAAACAGCGCCCACTTCCCGCTGAATTGATCTCATTTTTTCTTTCTATTTATTTATCGATTCACGCTTGATTTTAGTGTTTTAGCATAGCTTTGTGAGCCTTTTCGGTTCTTTCCATTTCTGAAAAACATTTTTAGCATCATTCACTAATTCGCCGTTATTTAGCACATTTATGGCGCTTTTATTCAAGCGCTGGTTTAAAGCCGAGCTTTTGCTGCCCAAATCGAACGCCTTCTAGGCATTTAGCATTCAAACACTTTGGGTTTACATGAAAATTAGGAAGATTTCTCTTTTATCTCAACACGAATTGGTGAAGAGTTTCTTTTTATAGGGCTGGCTGCCAAATTGTTTAGGCACACACACAACACACACACACACACAATAAAAATGATAAAAATTATCCGTTTCACACGATTGTGTGGCGCGTATGAAATCACAAAGCGAAATTAATTGTATTAAATGACGTAAGACCGTTTTGAAAACATGAAAAGCGCCAAAACTAGAAATTCAAAGAACTAACAAATATGAAACATACAAAAATATCACATTTACCACAAAAAAAAATGCATATAAATTTATAAAAATCAATCATGAATTTTCTCTAGTGTTTGGCAATTGCTAAAATTGTTGCGCAGCAATTTTTCTTGTTTTATACTTTCATTTTTTATTATAACAAAAACTGTTTCATTTATTAAAGCGCCAAGCAAATTGTGAAAGCAAAAACACGCTTATTTGTATTATAAATAGTTTAATTAATTTTATTAGCTTAAGTGCTATTTCGACGACACTTTCGCTGCTGCGCTTTCTCATAGGCGTTGTTATAATCAATTAATTTCAATTTTCCATGATAAAGTGCAATTAGTAATGAATTAGTCTCACAATTGAACGTCAATCACTGTGTTGCAAGCGATACAACAACTCATATTGAACAGTAATTGCATTAATGGTGAGTTCAAAGAGATTTGCTATTAAAGAAATTGGTTAGCGATTCCGACTTTATTACTTTGATAAGAGTTTTTTATTATATAAAATATAATAAGTGATTAGTAAGCAAAACAATGACAATAAAAACAAAATAGAAACAGCTGTACTTAAATATATTTGCATATAAATATTTATATATTTACTGTATTAATTAGAAATAATCTAATAAAATAGGTAATTATACAAAAAAGCTATAAAAAGTAAAAACTATAAAAATATATGTTATATTTTGCTTTTATTTATGGTTTTAGTGCGCTGCTCAATTAGCATTCACACCGCTTTATACCTTGAACAAAGAAAATTTTTTTCATATGACGTGACATTTTCATCAAATTTGGCATGAATTATTGGCTCAGCCAATCGTGCAACCTCCGAAGATATAGTTTAGAGCGGCTCACTATATCATATAGCTGCCATACAAACTGAACGAACGCAATCAAATATTTGTATAAAAAACTTTTTTATTTGTTCAGATATTTTTATGAAATTTGGCATGAATTATTGGCTCAGCCAATCATGCAACCTTCGAAGAAATTTTGAAGATCGAATCACTATAGCATATAGCTGCCATACAAAGTGAACGAACGCAATCAAATACTTGTATGGAAAACTTTTTCATTTGACGAGATATCTTCAAGAAATTTGGCATGAATTATTGCCTCAGCCAATCGTACAACCTTCGAAGATATAGTTTACAGCGGCTCACTATATCATATAGCTGCCATACAAACTGACCGATCAAAATGAAATGCTTCTAAAGCAACTTTTGTATTTGTGAAGGGTATTATATTTTCGGTGCAAACGAAGTTAACGTTTTTTTTGTTTTTGTCTACTTTTTTCTTACAAATCATTAAGCTTTGTTAAATAACTCAAGGCTGCAAACGCTGCCTCAGTTATTTATAAGTTAAAAAATCTTTATTTTGTATAAAAAGGCACGTTTCTGCTAAGGTTGTGCCCCAATTAACTCTAAATATACAAATATGCAATGCATTTAAATGTAAATTACAGGTCTCGGCCACATAAATAGTTACAAGTTACTCAAATTGATAAAAATTGTATATAAATTTAAATGATTTTGTAAATCAATTTTAAAAGTTAGACAAACAAATTACTTAAAAATAATAAATTTACGTTGAAATTCGCAAAGAAAGTCGATACGCTGTATAAAAACTGCTCTCCATTCATTCTAAAGTTAAGGTTCGTTCCGGTTTGGCTGGGACAGTCCGAACTCCGAGTTAAGTGTCGTGGTCGTCCCGAGCTTAGATATTAAAAAAAAAGAATGAATTGAATAAAATTGTCTAGCTCTCTCACCTATTATATGTCGCGATTTTCAGTAAATTATAGTATGGAAAAAATCGATGACTAAAACAAAAACGCGTTCCGGAATTTTCCGGAATGGTCATTTATGATCAGCTTATTCTAGAGCAAAAAGTTATCTTAACCAAGGGTAAAAAAACACTTCAACATTAATCACAATTTACTTTACATCTCTCTACTTTCTCTCTCGCTACTCTACTTTCCAAATATTTACTCTGCAACCAAATGTTACTATTAATATGAAACCAACTGTATGCGCAGGTATACAAAGCTATGGTTATGCATATAAATTGCAATTTAGTTAGTAATTTTGTTTTGTAATATTAACTTTCCTGCTTAACTAACAGGCATGCCAGACATTTGAACAACTTTTATTTAGTTGCGAACAGGTTGGCCAAAGCAAAACGTAAATATTTAATATTTAACACAAACAAAATTGGTAATGTTATAGTTAAAATGGTAATGGCACGTGTCTTGTTTGTGGATTTTAATTAATGTTCATGGAGTTTTTAAAAACATGCGTTAAAATTCATCATGCGTGAGCGTGGACTCATTTGTGGTACTTTTCATTATTTTGTAATCAACAATTTTTTTCATTCATTACCGATGTAGATTATATGAAGTCTTACATAACCTGTAATAATGCGCGCTAAATTGAAGTTAATAGCCAAAGCTTTCTGTGATAAAAAATGAAAGCTTTTTCTAGCACTTTTAAATGGCTTAAAATATTTACTTATTTTTACTGGCAACTTTTTAGTTTGTGTGACCAATTGTAGGTATATAAACATAACTTTCATTCATTCATAAAAATAAATCATAAAACTAAAACTATAGTAAACAAATGTTATGTAACAGCACAGAATATAACAAGCACAAATAATTTCTAGTACGCAAGTTGCCATCAACTAAATAATGTAATAGATCTGACAGCCAACTTGACAGCAGAGTTCACACGTTTATGTGCTCTTATGACAGCCAATAAGAATTATAGCAAACAATAACAAACTAGAAAGATAAAAAGAAGAGGTGAGCGAAAGAATAAATAAACAGAGAACATAAACGCGCGCGAAGAAACATATACAACAGCAAAAATAGAGAGAAGACTAGAGAGCAGCCAAAGCATATGATTAATTGAGCAGGTATCTTCACAAAAACAGGGGCTGTGCTGCACAGTGAAGCTGGATAGTGCAAATATTAAACAATTTACTTTATTTGATTTGACTAAATTTATGTAGAAATAGAAGAAATAAATATATTATTTTTTATAAACACTTCTCTAGCAATCTCTTGCTAGTATTGCTGCTGTTGTGACAGCGTTTTGTTAGCTATAAAACTGATAGGTGGCTCATAAAATAGTAAATATTATCATTATACATTGCGCTCAATTGTAGGCAACGATTTTCTTAGGCGCTTCAAAGCGCTTATCGTAAAAGACAGGAGGAAAGAGAGACTAAATAACTGATTCATTTTGTATACGGCAGGCTGTAATAGGAAACTTAGAAGATAATGCATGATATGTATATATAATTTTTTTTTATGACGTAGCGAATTGCAATTAATTGTAAAATGTATCAAAAAACTTAAACAATCCACCGTGCGCGCCGTTTCCTACTTGCTTGGGTGGTGGCAACAGGGGTGGCGCGTGAGTACGCCTGCTAAACGCGCGCCGGTGAGGACAGCAGTGGTGGTGTTGGCGGCGTAAGTTTGCTACCAGCCGCCTGCTTGTTATATGACCAGTTGATGACGTCGTCATAAACGCCATCGTCATCCCTCGGCACAGGCGAGAGCATATGGTCATACGTGCAGCGCTCAATGGGAATCAGAATCAGCGGGTTTGTCATGAATGCGCACCACTTAGAACGCTGAGTGCGGTTTCGGCGTTTGTTGGAGACGGTTTAGCGCGTAACTTTCGTGCGTGTTGTTCGTTCGCCGCAAAAGTGTTGAGCGTTTTTTATGCAAAATAAAAAGAATATACACAACAATTTGTTAATATACACATACATACATACATATATATGTATATACTTTAATTGTGCTTTAAAGCGAGTGCGCTAGTACGGGCGAACAACCGCGTTACATACGCGTGACACGAAATAGTTTACGATTGAGAAAAACGTGCACACATGCAAATTTACAAATAATATCAAAGTTTTACAAATTATTCGATACCTACAGTGCTTTGGGTATACATAAATAGTGTACACCATATGTGTATGTATATATTTTGGTGTTGTTGTTGTGCGAAGGAGTATGCTACGCCGTTTAGTTGTTTATCAACTTGAGCGCACAGCCAAACACAACAATCAACTTTTCGGTAGCGTCACAAGCGGCGCGCTTTGTACTCACACACACACACAAATCCATATATACAAACACAAGAGAACGACGCGAACATAAACAACAAGCACAACAACAATCACGTTTACACAACGTCGACACAGTTTGATTTTAATTTAAGTTGAATTAAGTGAAACCGCGTGAATAATTTTGGAAGAGGTCGCTGGGTCGACCGCTCAAACGGCAGGCAAATCCAGGCGAGACTTCAAGTAAACACGCCGGCAGTCTGCTGCGTGAGACGGAAGTGCTTAGGGCGTGTTAAGTGTAGTAGCGAGCGCAGCGCCGCAGCAGTGTTGGCATAAAAACAGACTCCATAAACGCCCATTTAATTGTCAACTGTAGTGAAAAGGACACGCGGAGCCTCAACAGCGATACGCTTGTGTTTATAGTACCGCAATAGCATAAATCGTCTGCGTGCAGCTATAAAATAGTGCAACGACCCTGCTTGCATGCAAATGTGTGCGCGTGTAACTGTGTGTGGTTGCGAATAAAAGCTTAGATCCTACAGCATAGCGGCGAAGTAGACAATATAAAACGGAAGCGGAAGTTTGCTGCTAGTGCAAGAGTCGAAATAGTTGCAGATAGTTGCAGACGTCGTAAACGCCCAAACCTCCCCACGCATACTGTGCCTTTCAACTACACACATACAAATATACTAATATACACGTACAAGTCGTACAAATATGCATTGGTGGTGCAAAGCCTTAAATGCCACACACACACACACATATATATATATATATATACTAACAAATATATTTACAAGCCAACGACAATAATGCCGAAATTAATGGACTAAGTTGAGTTTGCAAATGGCTTCATTGTTTGTGCTTGCATCGGCAAATGAAAATCGATTTTCCACCCAACACAACAACAAGCAGAACAACGCGCCCGCAACCATCGCAGCCCACAAATATTGAAAACTGTGTGCCTCAGCAAAATACTCGAACAGATTATTTGAATATATACTCAGACTCAAGTGTAACAAGCGCAATTTCCAATAAAAAGTATATAATATAAAAATAAATTCGAAAAGGTGAATGTGCCGCTTTGCTCGTTGACCTTTTGTGCGCGACTTAATAGAAGGGGGCAGTAACGGCACAACCCCGCAAGCGACGCATACATTTACCACAGCAATTTAATTGAGTACTCAACGGCAAGGTAGCAGAGCAGCAAAACAACAACAAATAGATAATAAATCGCATTTTGCACTCATCAAACGTCAAATGGTATGGCTATGGGAGCGTTACGATTGTAGACCGTAGCGTTGATTAGATTTTCTTTAATTAAGTTTGTAAGACATTTTTCTTTTCATCTCCTTTTGGTTTGAACTGCATAGTTTTTATTATTGTCGGTGCATTGTTTCACTGATTGCAATTGTTTGTGTGGAAAAAGTAAAAATTTTACGACTACACAGCCAGCAGGAAATTAGAAACTGAAACTGAGTTGATGCCAATCACAGCATTTAAAAAATATATGTTGTAATGTTGTTTTAAATACTAAAATTTCAAACTTAATGGAAATTCCTGAATTTCTGTATAAAAAAAAAACGCGTCCAATGTAATCTTTTTTATGGAATTTTAGTAGACAACGTGAAAAACACGAAGAAGTTAGATATTCAATACGAAAAAATATAAAAATTTATATTCATTTTGAAACTGTGAGCACTGAAGTTATATTTTTAAGGAACAATAGTTTATCACCGAGTGCTCTTTTGTAAAACTTTAGTAAGCTTTAAGTTATGCTTAAACTGTTAAATGACTTTTACGACCAGTGATCACTTACTCATAGCGCAATCATAGTTAGTTAAAGAATTATCGTTAATGCAAAAATATGCCTTATCCGCTTTAAAACTCTCCGACTAACAAACTATACGCCATTCTCTATTAAAAGACTTGCTTAAAGCTCTTTTTCCGACAGGCATGCAACTCACGACCTAGATGATTCCAGAAATGCGCGTCAAATGTGACAGAGCCAAAATAGACTTTGACATAAAATGTAATAAATGTAATATGGGCGGTTGTCAGTTACCACCCGCGCTTTAAAAGCACACCCTCATTAAATGAATCTTACAAATATAGTTTGCGCTCAGTCAACGCAGCCCTCGTGAAACTGTATATACAATGTGCATACATACACTTGCATGTATTTTCGCAAACTATATTCATATCTACATATGTATGTTTATATGGGTATATATAAAGTACATTTGAGGCTTTGTGATTCATGCAAGAGGCGTAACTGAGACATTGCTATGACACGAGGGGAAGCACGCTGAGCAGCTGACAGCGTTAAATGACTGCAATAGGACGCATAAGCTTAATTATATACCTAGCAATGTATGTGTATACATAAATAAGAAAGTGAGTAATATACAAAAGTTTATTTACATATCAGGCGCACTCACAGACGTGTCTACATACAGACCTATCAACAATTTAGTTACACAAAACACACCTCTAAAACCTAGACATATTGCACATGTGTGTTACTGCCCTAGCGCTGCTATGCCACACATTAATGTAAACACGCGCTCCCTCTGCAATCGAATTTTGCACGCGCTGACATACATACAAACCTCCTGACAGCGCTTTTATCGCCGGCTCTGTGAAGGAATGTGCGCATGTATGTATGCGTGTAGGAACAATACTTAGCGTAGCTAATCGCAGCAAACAAGCTGTTGTCATAAAAATATATGGATGTGCACGTGTAGTGGCAGCAGCAACATAAAACGGATGTTGTCGATGTTGCTGAATGCGCAGTGGCAGCCAAATAGACAGGCAACCAGACCGCGCGGCATAGAAGCGCTGACAGTTTTGAAAACACCATTAATGACACAGGCCTTCATATTACCCTGTCATATAAGCAAATTCAGTTGAGAGATTTGAGTTGAAAAACTACACACTTGCCACCAACAACAAATTGTAGGCAACGAAAAGTGCAAAATGCCTTCGTAAGTTTTTAAGTAATCAGCTACAAAACTACCGGGAGGGTGAATGATAAATGACCAGGCACTTTAACATGCTCCCTAACATAAATATTTATGTCTCAATAAACGCATGCATACAGTCATAATATGTGTGTAGGTATAGCATATTTGCCGCCTTGAAAGCCTTGAGTAGAGTTATTTGCAAAATATATTTAAATTTTTTTTGCTGCAAACTCATTTGTTGTGCTAATCTGCTAAGCGTTTTGCTGTTCCTCAATTGTCAAATCACAACGCAATGTGAGCTTATGACGTGTCTATTGTTTTGTTGTAAAAAACAAAAGTATTTCCCAGCAATGTGAGTATGTATGTATGTACTTATAGATAGGTAATTATTAATATTCATTGCTTCTGTACAATTGAGCTTTCGGCATGAGAAATATGTGAGTTAGCATTAATTGGTAGGGTTGCCATGTTTCTTAGCAAAAAACAGAAAGATACAATGGTTTTGTATTTGTAAGAATCTTATATTTCCTTAAGATATTGGTTTTTTGTATGGGAAGACATTCATCTGAGCTTAACGCTTGTCAACCTCATCCAAGAAAAGTATCATGAGTTACAAGTTTCTCAGAATATTTACTTTGCCTAACTTAATTTATAATATCATATATTTGGGTCAGTTAATATGATTAAGCTCCATGTTCACTCACCTTCCTACTGCAATCATTTGTCGGTGATGCAAAACATGGTATTGTAACTCTATCGTCTCTCTCCAAATCTTTGAAATAAATTTTCAACGTTTTTATAAAGTTCAAAAAGATGTGTTCTTGTTATTTTACAAACGTTAGATTTTAAAGTGTAGACCTAATTTCTTTAGCATATTGGGCTTATATAGAAAAGTGTTTCATTGCATAAGCTCAGTACACCCTTTGAGGTTTCAGTCTGACTTTTCTGTACGAAGACAATATTTAAGTGTAGCATCTCGCATACTCACCTTGAAGTTGCTAGGTCTGGTTATGTATTAAGGCGTTAGGGGTAGTCAGAGGCACGAAAAAATGAGAATTTTCAGTAATTTTTGTTTGCTATTATATCATGTTATTTTACAAAAGTAGTAATATGACATTATTATACCATGTTTTGACTTGAAGTCACGAAAATTTCAAAAAAAATTGTTTTTCTTTCCAAAGTTATAGCTCTCTGTGTAGACCCAGTTCCAAAAACAAAGATCCTTGCGGTGACAATCATAAGTCTTTGGAGATTCATCTAGAATCAATTGCATAGAAAAATTAGTTTTATAAATAGATAATCCCAGGCCTGATCGATGCTTTTATTTTATTTTTTTCAAAAATTAACAAAATGGCGGTCTCAGGAAATTTTTTTCTAGATTTTTGGAAGAAAATCAGCAGTTGGTCTTAACAAAATGGCGGTCTCAGGAAATTTTTTTCTAGATTTTTGGAAGAAAATCAACAGTTGGTCTTAAAAAATCGAAATTTTCGAAAAAAAAATTTTATTCGATCAGGCCCAAGTTTATTATGTATTTTAAAAGCTGTATAAATTTCATTAAAATCTACTGAGCAGTTTTAAAGTTACAGCTGTCACCAGTTCGAAAAATATAGTTTTGAGAAAAATGCATTTAAAGTTTCTTGCAGCTGCTGCTAGCTACCTGCTCTCAAGCGCTTTGAAGTGGCCGAGCGCTCTTTGTTATTTGTCAAATAACTCAAAAAGTAATTATCGGATCAAATTGAAATTTTCAGAGAATATTTGCAAGACATTACACTTAACGAAAATGCAAAAAAAAAAAAAAACAAATTGATTTTTTGAAAACTCTGACTACCCCTAACCCCTTAAGAATATATTGATAACTGAATAGGTAGTAGTTGCTGTCTTTAAATCGCTAACTTAGAAAGTGGTGAATCGGAAAAACAAGTCAAATAGACTTGCCAATTGTGTATTTTATCAGTAAGATTTTTTATTACTCTGCTTAGAATTTCGTTTAATAATATCATATGAGTAATAATATGAGAGACATTAATCGCTTACTACAGCTACAATCACAAGCTCAGTTGAAATCCCAACTTGGTATTTATTTCGCCATTTCTCTCAAATTAAGCTTATCACCGATAACAATATGTACTTAGATACATCTACATATGACTGTACTAAGCTTGAGTCATGGCGCTGCATTTAAAAACAAAAACAGCTCCTTTGTTTCGGTTTTTGCTCCCTGCGCCGCGGTGTTGTTGTTTTTGTTGTTACTTCCGTAGTGTTAAAAACAATTAGTTTCGTGCTTAATGGGCGATACACCCGCATAACACTTGCTGTTATTATTATTATAAGCATAAGAAATTAAGCGCATTTGAGGCGCACTGTATACACACATACATACATATATATTTTTACGCGTATATATGTACATATATGCTTGTATTTACATTTGTACTGCTTATGAATTTGTCCCGATGGAGCAACAGCTGTTCGCTCTTTCTGTTGTCCAACGACAAAAATGTAGAGATATATACATATGTATGTATATACATAGATCGTGTTATGTATTTGAAAGCAAATTGTATGTGCTTTATATAAAAAGTTATGAAATACACGAAATGGTTGCTGTTGATTACATCATTAACCTCTCCTGTGGTGCAAAGAAATTGTTGACAAATTCGCAATGCTCCCGCTTCTCGCCTTTCGCCCCGTGTTTATGAGCATTAAGAGCGTGTCTGGTACATAAATAGCTTTACACTGTTTTTGCTTAGGAAATGGTCCTAATTTGGCATTGCAAATAAAATAATCGCTCACTGTATTTTTCTTTTTTTCAAATTAGTTTCAAATTTCGAAAGTGTTCGTGAATTTTAGTGGCTTTGGACATGCGTGATATGCGAGATAAGCGGCAATCACGTAGACGCCATCATAGCTTAAGCCGCTACGGAAAGAAAGGTTATCGGCAGGCGAGCGGATCTCGCGCTTGCTGTCGAATTAAAAGGAAAATTAGAGTATTTTGTGCCGTGAACGCACTTTTCATCGTAATTATCAATTGGCTTTCGGTTTTCTTTGGAGCGTAGCTGATTTCGCATAAAATTGAATAATTGCTTTCAGACGTACATATGTGTGTGTGATATGTAATTATTTGCACACACATGTATATACATATGTACATATTTGTGTATTTATGGAAAGATTTTTGACATTAGAGAATTTTACATTTTTTTTTTATAGAAGAATACTATTCTAAGGTTTTATTATTTTTATATGTGTATCAGGGTTGAACAGGATTCAAAAATTTTGGATTAATAATTAAATTTG